TTAAAAGGCTTCTTCATCTTAACCACTTCTATGTTTAGTCAACTCTTAGGGTATCATCTTATCACATTGGAATGAAAGTCTACCCTGAGCGAGTCTAAAATTTTAAAAAGGCTTTAAAGATTTAACCACATGTCAAAATAACCATATTTCACGACTTATTTCGGAGTTGATGATAAAATACATTTTGTATTATTATTCTACGTTAAAATCACAGGACGAACGTGCATATAATAAAAGGCAGACGTGCCAAACAGTAATAACACTTTCTCTTATCATAACTACGTAAGTACTTCCAATCATCCAAGTATTTAATTCTTATAAACGCAAGATTCTTATCCAAATGTGAAAAATTAAAATTGACGCGACACTCAAGGGTCAGGGCACCTTCCTGTTCACTGTGAGATGGCCCCACACAGACATGATCCCATTAACTTTTTTGTCATTTACTTCAATTTCGAAGTAATTCTTCTTAATTCTTTTTTTGTTTCAACTAAATTGTTTTATTTTACTGCAAAGCAAGTCTATTTGCTTCTAACTTTATTCATCATCTTTTTCCATAGTTTTTTTTCCAAGCGAGAGAACCCAACTTCACCAGCCTTTAAAGTTACTAAAAGGTTTCCTCGCCATTTTTCCATATTCATTGTTGACAATTATTGTCTATTAATTTCTCCATTTAAAGCAAAATGAAATAAATAATAACATAAAAAGTCGTTTAACTAATTCAACAAACTCAAAATATAAGACTAAACTGTTGGCAATTGTATGTAAGAAAATTGATTACGAATAAACATATCAATAGAAAAACTCGGTGAAAGCTAAGATAAAAGACTATATTCGAATTTTCAAAACGCCTTACTTACTAAATGAAGAAACATGTAAAGGAGGTTTTACTTCCATGAGAAAAACTGGTCATTTTCATTTCGACTGCTTCGCGCTAACCCTCCTAGGTAACTCGGGCAACTCTTGAGCAACTCGGAAATTGCGTGCAATATAATAGCGCTGATCACTTAACTCCGTTTGACCAGCATTCATACATCTTGAACTTTTAAGATTTTTCCTTCGACTTCCGTATTTCTGTCTGTCAAAATGAGTTGAAATGCTGAATGTTAGTGTCCAGTTTTCTCAGTTTTCTTCATGCTGGTTGATTTTCTCGTTACCAACACTACAAGGGAGGAAGGGAGGAATATTGCAATAACTGCAAGAGGGGCTACAGGACAGGATAAAATGATATGTGGCTTTTTCTAAACTGGCGCTGATGCTTGGTCAGAATTGCGATATATTTCATTTAAACCAATCAAGATCATCATCTTCATCATCATCAAATAACGGCGGTGGCACAGCACGGGCCGGTGGAGAATCCTGGGGAAAAAATCACACTTTATGTTAGTTTTATTCCACATATTTTCCAAACAATTCGATATTTTAAGCAATAGTGTTTTGGTCTCTTCTGATATGTCTTGGTCGGGAGTGGTTCACAAAATTTGAATAGTTCATGATTTCTAATCACAGCTAATACATACGAGTGTCAAATTGACTAAAGTAGCATAAAAATTCGATACCCGCCACCCGCCGGGTATTTTACAGGTGGGGAGAAGGGGGGGGGGAGGGAGGAAAGGGGGGAGGGGGAGGGGGAGGGGAGTGGAGGGGAGGGGGCTTCCAGGCAGAGAGTTGAACGGATTCGAGAGGATGTTCAGTTAAACCAGAGTATAACATAAGTTGCCTCGGTTGAGTTCAAACACGCAATTATAAGCTACCGGCTTTTCCTCTTCTTTTTTCTTTGACAAAGATCCAAACGTAAATTCCACATCGTCATGTTCATCGTCACCAAACAGTCTGATGAAGAAAAGCAAAAGAGTATACATCTGTTAAAAGAAGACTTTCTCAGCGTCGAACTTAAGAAACTAGCCTTGTCTGGCTCAACGTCTTATCACATCACTCCTTCGTATTACTTAAATATAGCACAAGAGTGGACATTCACGAAGGGCGCCTTCTTGTCCTCTGCCTCTCAATATAATTGGAATTTGAAGTGTATATTTTGAGGGAAGGACAAGGGCGGAACCTTAAAAAAAACCCTTGGAGCAGGGGCAAGAACCAACTATCAACTCAAGGGAGTTTCAAAGCTGACCTATCGAACGTTACACTTCGTCGGAGTGAAATGACGATGTGGAAGTAACTCTGACGAAGGGCTAACGCTCGCAACGTCTACTTTGAAACTCTAAAAGGTGGCCAATAATTACCCTGTTATACTCTCCCACCGACGCAGCACCAACCTTTCTTTAGAAATTTATCCCCCAATTTAAGGGAATCGAGCCCAGGTCACAACCAGCTCCCACTTTGCTTTCTACGTATTCCATGTGTCAGTGGGAGAAGCGCTGGTTTAACCGTGAGCGTGCTAGACTCCGGGTCGAGGGTTCGGGTCATTGTGTTGTACTCTCGGGCATGAAACTTTACTCTCACGGTGCCTCTTCAATCAGGTGAGAGGTGTCGGCGAAAGACACTGAACCCTTCAGTCAAGACTACCATCATATATTTCAACTAACAAGACATGTACTTACGATTTAAGTTTATCTTCACTCGGGGCCTCACTCTGAGATGTTGGCAAGAGCACATCTGTCATTACGGAAGAAAAACGATGCGAATGAGCGATACACGAGATCTTTATCCTTTCCTAAGCTATAAAGAGTGAGCTGTCAGCGAATTCAATAACAAGCACAACCGCAACAAAGATGAATTTGAATAAATACATGCGGTTTCATCCTTCGGCTTAATGGCGCCTAAGGTCTAACCGATTTATCCATGGGTAACAAATGCAGTATCGAGCAAACAGTTGACGAGAAGATATATTAAAAAATCTGGATCATGGTTTCTCTTTTCTAGATCAGAAAAATCTAAGGTTACTTTTTTTCAAAACATCATCGTCCGTTTGGTTATCGATAAAGAAAAGGTTAATAAGTTCTCTGTCATTTCTACCTTGTGTCTCTTGTTCTTCTTTACGTTGCTCAGAGACGCCAAAAGCATCTTCTACGCTTTCTGATACAGATGGCACAACCTTTTCCGAAGTATCGGCTCTAGCGTCTTCATCTGTCTCCGCAGAAAGTTCTTCTAAAGAAGGAACATCTATTTGATTTCCTTGAAATGAGTCCTCGGAAGAATTGTCTAAATTATCAGTGTTTTCATTGATTTCTCTATCGTTAGAGCTTTCTAAATGACCATCATCTACATCATCTACAGCTACAGAATCCACTTTTTCTCTGATTTCACCGTTGTGTGCTAAATGCTCGGTTCCTTCATTTTTCATTTCATTGGTCTCTTTTTCATCTTTGCTTTGTTCAACGACAGTTCCTTGGAATCCTTCTCGCTGGTGGTTATCAGCCTCCTCTGTAACAGACTCTTTACTTTCCTTCTCTTCATCTCTTTCATCTTCATCTCCTTCATCAACACCTTGAACAGTTTCCTCAGGTTTCACTTCTTCCTCTGATTCTTCTTGGTCTTCTTCTCTGTTCTCTTCTTTCCTTGCTGCTTCTCCACCCACAAGTGTCTCTTCTTCTTTTTCTTCTTCTTCTTCTTCTTCTTTCTCCTTCTCTTCTTCTTCTTCTTCTTCTTCTTCTTCTTCTTCTTCTCCATCTTCTTCATCTTCTGCTTCTTCTTCTTCATCCTCTTCCTCCTCCTCTTCTTCACTTTCTTCCGTCTTGGATGATTTTCCACTCACAAGTTTCATGGTCACCTCCTGTAACAAAAACAAATTTGCATCATCGGTAATTCATTCACCATGAAGTTCGCGACTCGTCCCTTGGTTGATATCTACTGGCTCATATTTACCAAACTTTTGCAAGAGGATACTTTTCCTCTTCATGTTTTTCAATAATGTAACGGAATATCTTTTTAAGACACGACTAAATTCAAGGGACACAAACTTTGCCGGGTCTGAACGGAGCGAACTGCTTTAATAGCTCTTCTGCTATTTTCACTGAAGGGACACCACTACCAAGGGGACACTGTTTCCAGTGTCGAACGTGTCCCTTGGATGGAAGTTCCACAATAGCAGCACCAAATTTCGTACTCTATTTTGGTGAATGTGAAAAAATCACTCCGTTTTCGACTTCAGGTTAACAGCACAATGAACTCTGTTCACTACTCACAAGATACTGCTACGCTATTTACTCCATTAGGAATTCAGCGAGAAACAAACAGCCAGAAATATAATTTCCATTACAGGCATTAGTTTTTTATCAAAAAGCAAACGGTCTGTGTTTATAACAAGGGCAGCCACTGAATTTTAAATCGAGCCTTTTCTTAACAATGATACACTTGCAACAGGATCAATTTGATGGATTTTTAACTCAAAAGGTTGACTGCGTGTCGACTGACTTTCTATTGACTCCTGTGTAAAACATTGCTCATACCTTAATGGTTTTAAGAATTACGGACATGACTTGCGAGCCTGTATAACTGTCGTCCGCTTCGAACTCACTTCTCAGCATATAGAACACCGTGTTCATAATACGTTTGACCTGTGTAATGCAAAAAGGTAATAAAAGTCAAAACGCATTGCTACCATAACGATTCCGGGCAAACTTCAGCGAAGGAATTGATATTGTTTACATAACATGCTAAAACGAACCTGTGACGTCCAAGTAAGCTAGAAGTTAAAAGCTTTTTGATTGAAATTCCGACTTACTTCATCAGTCACGTTGACAGAGGATTTTTCTTTGCTCGTAGCGCTCTGTTTCTTCCCTTCCGTCAATCCCTTACTGTATGCTTCTGAAACAGCAGATTCACGTTCCTGAAATGAAATTCAACACAACGATGAGACTAACAAATTATGTGAGGCCTTGTCTTCATGCAAACCAACACCGAATCCACCAGATGAAAAGGTTTGTCTGGAATCATCATCCGATTTAAGTAACAAAATTCTAGTAAGTTAGACAAACCTCTTCGGCGGAAGCCAGTTGCTCTTCATACTGTTCCTTCATTTTCAACGTTCTGGAGCGAACTTCTTGGTACTATTTAGTTGGACAAAACAAACAAAAATTTAAAAAAAGCCTTCGCAAGTCTGCATGAGTATTCAGGCGAACCAAGGAAAACACTTCATTTTTTTTTCTCAGTTTTCCACCTGCACGTGACTCGACCTTCACGGTGGCCTCGTGCTTGACACCACCCCCTTGTGAAACGTAATTTTTCGCGTGTTCTGACGCTAGTTGATGTTGTTCTCCTTACCTTGGCCTGAAGCGCGATTAGCTCTTGTTCTGATGAGCGAAGTGCTTCTATCTGCGAATCTCTGTCACCTTGAGAATCCTGAAGACGCTTGTACTGTTATTTTATAAAAGAAAAGGCAAACAACTCTTCTGAGATAGTCACGAAAAAACTTCTTTCGGTCGGATTTTTTCATTCTATCTAACGCCCTCACATCGCATAAATTTGTAAGACATCGCCTTAATCTTCACCTTTATCTCTTTTTTTTTTTAGGCCAGATAACTTGGAAAGGTTATGATAACTTAAGGAGGGGAAGAGAATGCTAAAGGAAACGACAAAGAAGATAACATAGACTACATTCAAAACTGCTTCATGAGGCCAAATTAACAGTTTTTCATCTCGTTTATCTCTAATTTACAATCTATGTTAGGCTTCTTCATCCGAAGCCATAGCGGTTCTTCCTATGTGTTGAGTCGCCTTTTCTGTGTTTTCCAGTATAACCATACCAATATTATTTACTCTCCTTCAAAAGGTGAGAGCAGTTTTGAACATCATTCAACACCAAAATATTCCTACCTTTTCTCGTATTCCGGCGAGATCTTCTAATTTCTCTTGAAGGTCTTTGATCTTCTCTTCTTTTTCATCGTCGCCTGCTTTAAGCGTTGAAACCTTCAGGAAAACCAGGAAAACTGTCTGTTAACTTCAATGTTCTTTCGTTAACTGTGTCGATTCGAAGGTCGTATCGAGACACGTAAAAATGTCCGAAAACGATCAGATTGGACAGAAGTTTTAGCACTGACTTCACAAATTTATTTTGTACCACCCAAGAACACGAAATCTTAACAATATATCTGTTCTGAGCTCAATTTGCAGTACTCCCAACGAGTAAAAACAAACTTTCATAACCTTTTCTTTAAGTTCTGCCAGTTTTTTTACTGTCTCTTCCTTTTCATCAGTAACTTCTTGGAATCTCCTTTTCCATTTCTCTTCCGTCTGTGCAACCATTTTTTCTGCTTTTTCTGTCCATCTCGTTTCAAGTTCTGTTTCCGCCTGAGCGACCTGAAAATAAAATCAGAACATTTGTCTTTTCTTCCCATCACACCATTGTCAAAAGATTGACCAGCCAACCTGCACCGTCATAGGTCTGTGAGGGGCCTGGCATGTGCCACAACACTCGCACGCCCTTTCAAACATCTCGCACTCTCGCATAACTCGTCGGCTCGAAACGCCGCGGGGTTTGTACATCTGTCTCAACATTAAATGTAAGCACTGTAAATCGGGATCAAAGCAAAAAACAAACATCAAATGCTAACCTGTTGCGCTGTGACTGTTCCACTTGATTGCTTCTCTTTTCTGTGTTTTTCCTTCAAAAATTTTATCTCCTCCTACCAGAGAGCAGAAATGTTACTGATCTAACACAATAGAATTTGTAATTGCTAGTTACAATGGATCAGCTTGCACATTACAGAACGACTAGGAGTATTACTACCAACACGGAATGGGATATTGGTCCATCGTGGACCAGCACCTAGCATTTAATAAACTTTGCCAACCACACTCAGTACATCTTTAAACTCCTGGGGTAGAGAGGGACACCGTGGGAAAACAGTGTCTTACCCAACAACACAAAGATCTTAGCCCAAGGCCCTGACCCAGGACTTGAACCCAGTCCTCTCAATCCAGAGTCTAGCGCGGTAACAACTAGACCGCTGCCTATGCCATAGGAATCAAAAGCACTTACAAAAATTAACTCAATTAACTTATTCACTTCCAATAATAGTAATTCTCGTTACTATCTGCCAGAAATTGATGCTGGTTCAAATGATATCCCTTGATTGACATTTTTTCCGAAATGTCATTACCTTTCTGCTTGATAGTGTGCCGATATTACAAAGAGAAACCACATCTTGGTCACACCTGAGTGTGAAATTGTTAATCCATGATACTTGCCCTTCTGTGGGAACTAGTAACACTCAGATGTTGACGTGATCCTGAGCTGAAGCCTAAACACTTTTTCAGTTACCTCTTGCTGTGATCGCAGATCTTCTAGTTCTTCCTCGAACTTCTTCTTGTCGACGGCATGTTTCTTTTTTCGATCTGTTAAACCCTGAAAAGAAAGACAAAAATATAAATTCATTCACTGAGCAAACAGCTGTAGCGAGGCTAAATCACATCAGTAAGTATCTATCTGGTGTCAAGTTTCATACCAAACGCAGTTGACTGTTCCTACCTTTTCCAAACTTTCTTTTTCATGTTTCAAATCATTCAACTCCTCTTCAATGTGCTCCACTTTGCTTTCCAGTCTTTTCCTTGTCTGTTTTTCCTCTTTAAACGACTGCTTCAGTTTATCACTCTCTTCTGCACTTTCTACAGTCACACGAGAAAAACAATCCATAAAAAATACGCCTGGATTTCCTGACCTCGCTATGCAAGGCTTACACATAGAAGAGAGCAAGATGGGAAAAAAACAGCTACGTAAAGAATTTATTCAATCTGGAAAGCATCAGACACGTCATAATTTGAAGAGGTAAGAGGGAGATAAAATAGAAAGCTGGTAACTGGGGACGATAGCTCTGGAATCGTTGTTATTTCCCTGTTCGATAGATGGGAACTCGAACATCTATTTTCTTATAGAAAAGATAAGAAGTCTCTTTAAATTCTTTCTTCAACAAGATGGGTATTAAAATAATTTTCCAAATTCCAAAATTTTCCTCCAAGTTAGCGGCATATTGACACACATTTGGTATGAATTACTTTACGTACAGGCTTGATCTGTGTCAACCATTAGAGAACACTTCTCATTTCCAAACCAACCTGTGTGCGAATCTTTAGCTCGCATCAGGTCATTTCTGTATTTTTCAGCTTCTGATGTCGCCTTGCTGAGATGACCACTGAGCTCTGCTTCCCTCTGACGGAGTAACGCTACTTCGTTCTGGAGAGCTGCCAAATGTGTCTTGGCTGAGGTTAGCTCGCTGCTCATGGTGATCTAAGAAACAAACGACAAACAATTAAAAGATAAACAATACAATTTGGATATCAAACTACGCTCCCAGACATAATGAGTTGGACCTCTTCTCTGGATCAATGTCTATGATGTTCTTTCACCCCTCTCCCCCTTACAATCTTGTTAATTGCTAATGTTTCTATGCCATCTTGCAGACCAACATTGAGAAGGGGAAGGGAAGGGGAGGCGGGAATTGTCCCAACAACGCTTTCTGAGATATTCCACCCAACATAACAGAGAAAATGAGTTTGCAGATTACCTTTTCTTGTTCTAGCGATAACACCCTTGCTTGTGACTGTGCTGTGTTCACTTGTAAAGAATCACTCCTTTGTTCCAACATCGTGTTGCTATGTTCAACAAATCTGAAAATCATAACACAACCACACGTTACTTCCTGAGTTTATAAGGCGAGAGTTAATAAAAAAAAGGAAATTGGAATGGGCTCATATACATGCATCTGTCAACTTTTTGTATTCTGGGAATTAATGCGACTAAAAAATACCTCTGACTCTTTTGCAGTAACTCTGATATCTTGTCATTCAGCGTCTCAATCTTTCTGGACTTTTCAGCACCTTCAGCTTTTAACTTTTCATTTTCCTAGAATCATAGGGAATGAAATTTAAAAAAAGGAATCTACCTAGATTGCCTTACTGACAAACTCAGTGCGGACAATGTGCATGACAAGTTGTCTAATGGTCCTTGAACTCCAGATAATGACGCAAAATTCCGCAAAGAGGTTTCCTCTTTAAAGATCGAAAATAGTCCTCTCGGTACGACTACAACCCTCCTTAATGCTGATTATCGATAGGAAAAGTCACCCTCCCCCATTGTTTTTTAAATAATGTAGCTTGTTCTGTGATTGGCCGGCTTTCTGAAGGACACAAAATGTCCCTCCTGCCCTCGTTGCATATAAAATACTTGGCACAAATTATTGCCATGAAATATACTTACTGGTATACCTATTAGCATCTGGAGGCACGGGTTACAATCCCGTAAAAGTCTGAAGTTTAGTCAAGCTTCGTTTCTTCACCGGGCCATTTTAGAGTACTTAGTTGCTAAGCCTTTGATTTAGAGTGAGGCTGAAGGTGACCTTGTTGTGATAGAGACCAGTATCTCGTTAGCATGAAAACAAAGTAATTTGCATTTGATTAGCAGCAAGGTTTGTATCATAACAAGGTCACCCTTAGCCTCACTCCTGTTCAAAGGCTTGGCAACCAAGCACGCAACTGTAAGTGGACTATTGCTTAAATCTGTGAGGATAACGGCTTTATTTGAAAGTCTGTTCTCCAGCAAAGCAAGATATTGGCCGCAGTTCAACAGTAACTTGAAAACCTAATAACTTTATTTCACTTACTTGTGCATCAAAATCATACTGAATATGCGATATGTTGAAGATTGGCACGAAGAAGTACCAAAAATAACGCATATTTGACCAAGTTAGTCTAACGTATTACCTGAACTATTCTGGTGATGTTGTGAACTAAAACAGCAGCTTCCATTGCCGCTTGTGGATTACCAAAGGCACCGATTCCCATCTGACCAACTTGTGTTAGTTGTCCACCATGCTGTGCTGTGTTCTGCTGATGACGCTCAACCTACGACAAAAATCGGCCGAAAATTTAGTTTCTGGTAGCTGTATTGAGTCACGTAAAGACTTCGATAGAACGAAGTTTAAAGATCATACGGAGCAGGAGTGTACTTACTGTTCATTCAAAAGTTCTACTAGGAGGATGCAAATTGTGAACATTTCACTTCACGATATGGTGCTCGAGATAAAATCAAAACATTTTTGTATTGATATTTCATGCATCGCAGTGCTGCAATGCCAACCTACTTATTTCAAAAGAAGAGAAACTATACGAACAAGATACTGATTGGGAAACAAACAATAATTTCATACATGTAATTTCTCATATCATAGGGCTTGAATTTATCCCGCTCCTGTAGAAAAAGGCATTACTAAGAAACAAGAGCTTTCTAATAAATTATTCATCACTTTTCGACGAAGACAGATGCAGGAATGAAATAATATCGTAACACCGATGATCAAGTAAGCTCACCTTGTTAGAGAGCTCGTCAATCTTGTCTGACAACTTGCCAATAGACATGCGTATTTCACCTTGCTGTTGCCGTGTCTCTGCCATAAGCACTGGGACCATTGCGTCATTAGCACTGGGCTGGGGTGGAGGGGCTGGGGGAGTAGGGGGTGGGACTGAATATGGTGCAGTGATTATCTGTGGCTGAGGTCCCATCATGGGATACCCCATGCTGGCTGGAGGCTACAGAATAAAACCAGAACAGTGGTTGACTTAATCTGTCATCAGCTACCTCTCTGATTTGCTCTGACGAAGGGCTAACGTTCGGAACATCAGCTTTGAACCTCTTTACGGTGGCCAATTTCCATTTTCAACTCAGCTGATAAAACTAAATTATTTTGTTATATTCTCCACCGACGCAGCACTACAGTTTCTCTAGAAACATACCCCCTTCATTCATTTACCTCTCTAGTAAGCTCACTATCTCAAATCTTTGTTCCTCCCGTGGGATTATTCAAACGGCTGGTTATCAAACCTGGAACTGCATTTTTCTGAGACAGCAGACAAAGAATGACTTCTTTTCCTCATGAGCAAAACCTCATTTTCCACAGAGGGTGACTCAAAATCTTACGTTTTGCAATAACAGGGCAAAGAAGCAATTGCAAAAAATTAAAAACATGTTTGCAGCGATTTCTCTCGCCATTGTCCAAAACTAACTTCTCGGTAGCTCAAAATGTTTCACAAAACATAACCTAATCATATGTATCATATTTCAGACTAGCGTTTAACCTGTTTCAAATTTAACATATGAGGCGCCTTTTGACTTAGCTATAGGGCTCACTCTGTAATTTTCTTCTACTTAGAGCTTTTAAAGCATCGTCACTGTGAGCATCTTAACACACTGGCTATGCAAAAATGAAGTCACTCTTATTTCACTAAGTCTGCTGAGGGCAAGAAAAAAAGGCTCTCAAAATAAGAAACTGTTGAAGCACAGCGCAGTTTTGTACAACTTGCTTGATGGACACTCTTGGAAACGAGATGTTTGTTGTCATTGGTAACTCTAGGGCAATCTTAGGGCCTTTCTGCACTAGCGGACAAAACTAGAATTGTCTCGACAAAATCAAAGGACAAATTTTTGTTTCGTCTGGTGCATCCGCATGAAAAATTTCAAAGCCGTAAAATTCCGTCAGCGCCTAATCTGTTCATAAGACCAACCAGCATAGTTTGCCAAAGGATTCCACCTCCAATTTCCAGGATTTATACTAAGTCGTTTTAAAATTTTAGAATTTCCGAGTTTTGCTGCAAAAGACAATTTTTTCCTTTCGAGTAAACTGATCTCAGTTCAGTAACACGCTTGTCGTAGCTTATACGACAAATGATTGACAAGTCTATCACGCTTTTGTTAGTAGTCGATTTTTCCATTTTTTTTTTTAAACGGGACCAAAACTAATTTTGTCGGCGGTGCGTTTGAAGATTTTCCCGCCTCGGCTAAAATTTGCCGAGTCGCGACCAACCTTCCGCACTTGTAAAATGTTGGTGATAACACAGAATTTGTCTGAATAAACAATTTTGCCGCTAGCGTGGAAAGGACATAAACTTTTACTTTTACATTAAAGGTCTACCTAACTTATTAAAAAACTTAAATAAAAGCAACACTTTCATAGGATAAAATCTGCTAGCTTTAAACAACTTCTTTTTACTAATTTTATTAAAACCAACCTGATACAAAGCAACTTGCTGATGTGGTGTGAAAGCTGGCTGCATCACTGGTTGTGGGTTCATGACAGTCTGTTGGATTGGCTGTGCAGGAGGCGTTAGATTATGGACTGGCTGATGGACCTCTGGGTGAACCTGAGGTACTGGTCGCGGAGGAGGATGGGGCTTGGAGCGGACATTAGGATGAGGGTTGGAGCTAATGGCTGGTGGATTTGTTGTCTTCCCATCTGCTGTTTCTGGAGTACTGAACTCACCATGAGTTGGAATTTCCTATCAAATAATTTTAATAAACAATCAACACTATCTTGAGAAAGACGTTTTTCGTCTCGTCACGAGCGTGGGACAAAGAAAAAATTCTGAGTCACTATGTGGAATCGAACCTCAGACCTTCGGATTCCGCGCTCCAATGCTCTACCACTAAGCCTTTTTTTAGTATGAGAAAAAGATTGAGTCTGTCCTCATTTTACATTGGAAAATACTCATTGTAGACTAAAAGCTTATTTATGTGCTTCAGAGGTAGTTAAAATTCTAATCAAACTATAAAGTTTGCTTCCATTCTCTTCCGTAACTTTTTGTCTGAGGTTAAAGACCAAATGTTTCATTTATTCATTCATAAATTAACATACTACTGCAGACGTATGACTATGATAGATACAATTGTTAGAGATGACTGTGTTACTTACCTGCTCCTGCTCTCCCAGTTCATCATTTTCAGGTTCTGCAACCACAGCTCCAGGCAGGGACAAAGGATTTTTTCCCATCTTGGACATCCGTGCAAGTAAACGAGCCTTATCTGTGTTTTTCCCTGGAGACTACACAACAGAGAGACAATTTGAGTCTGGAAAAGGGTGTGCTAGTCATGTATATCAGTAAAGTAAGTATCAACTGGTAAATTCTCTTTAAGGGAGCAACACAAGAGGACTACAATCTCTTTGTTGAGAGGTCACTATGGCAACTGAGCCACAGCCCCCTTTCAAGTACCTGTAAAGATATCACTGCCACACTTTTGCAAAGGGCAAGAAACACTTTTACAAAATTAGGGAGGGAGGGAGGGAAGGGAATGAAACAGGCTTAAATGTATCTGTTGTAGCAGGGAAAATAAATTTTAACAAAAACATGCAGCAATGCCACTGCAAAACCCTTGCAAGTATGTTGAGTACCTGTCCCAAGATTAAACATTTGTGCAGAGCTACAACTAGCAAATTTCTCATAGACTCTTATAACAAAACAATTAGCATGGTAAGTGGCATTGAAAGTTTCAATAACAAAAGCTTCATCAGATAAACAAACAGAGTACTGCCTGACCTGTGAAAGCTGTTCTGTGATTGACGCAGTTCTCCCTTTAATTCCAGAGTCTCCTGGGACACTAAGGATCACAAGTAGAACTGTTTAGCCAAAGGTAATTATTAACAGCCAAATAACCCTTGCCCATCAAACTGACATAATTTTTTAAATAAAAGATCACCATGTTAACAAGCTTCTATGACTCTGAGAAATAATCTTAAATTACCAATCTATGTACCCGTGTGGTATGCTCAATAAAGTGCAGTGAAGAGATTAAGAAATGAAATGAAGTGATTTTCACAGAGCCTTGTCAAATTATACAATATCATGTCACACCCTTTATTTCCATGGTGAGATTACACTGCACACTTTTCAAAAGATAATTTCGTGTTACCTTAGCGACGAAACAGAATCTGTAGACTTTTTTCTTGTGCCAGAAGGCTCAGACAAAATGTCAGGCAGTTGATCAGTATTTTGTGCTGGAGAAGGTTCATGAACTGTCATTGGAGATTCATTTGACTCTCTACTGGACTTAATCTGTTGACAAATGATCTCAATCAATATATGAGTCAACAGCACTATGTCTTGTTTTTCATGAAAAGAAACACAGGGATATTTTTTCTTTGCTTGATATTACTTGAATGTTAAATTATTATTGTTGTCATTATTACTATTACTATCATTGGTGTTATCATGGTTGTCATAACTATCACCACTAATCAGTGTCTTGATGTAAATGATGGGATGCTTGTAATTTGGAAGTATCTTAAAAATACATACCCTTAAAACCTCTACTTCAAACAAGAGAGAGGAGTTAGGAGGTACTCTAGAAGGTACACCCTGCAAAGAAACACACATGATCAATGTTTGCAATGGATGCAGAGAAAATTATCTTCAAGTTCGATCCAGGAGAATATCAATCATTAGAGTTAACAAAAACTAAGTGAACTACATTATGTTTTTTTACTGCCAATTATTGAACTTGTATCATTATTCAATTACAATGAATCCATAGTATCATGTTAACCCTTACACTCACAAGATCTCACTGTTTAGTTTGAGTATTCTCATTACCTGCTTGCCTTATAATGACAAAGTTCGACAAGGTGAGGGAAACCAGTTCTGTTTACAATAATTATCAGAGTTGAGAGAAACCAAGGGTTGGTGAATTTCACACTCCCCTTAAGATTTAAAATGTTTAACTTAAGATCTGACCTTTTCTCCATAAGCCAGAGCAGAGGGAATGGCAATCAACCTCTTTCCACCTTTTTTCATGCCTATCACTCCTTGCTCCCATCCCTAAAGAAATTTAAAATGTTTCACCACAGTTCAAAACAATGCCTTTACCATGACAGAGAATATGAACATTGAAAGCCAGTACAATAAATATTTCCTGGAGTATAACTCAAGTCATAAACTTAACCCTTTGACCCCTGAGAGTGACTGGCATCTAATTTCTCTCCACAATATCACCACTGAATCACAGATTAAGGTCATGAGAATAAAGGAAATGATCACCAACTAAAGTAACTCTTGATTGTTTGACAATCGTTAGTACCTTGGAAAGCACATAAAGAACAGTATGGAGGATATATGATTTAGTGGTTTAATTTTATCCTTGGTTCAAATTTTATTTTCCTTTCTTTCAAACTTACTATCATACATTACAGTACCAAAAAACAAACAAAAAAAATTTGAACTGAGGATAAAATTGAACCACAACATATACATATACTGATGTTGGGGTGTAAAGTGTTACGGAAAGATTTTAAAAAAATTACAGAAAGAAAGAAAACAGAAAAGGCATACAGATGAGAAATAGAACATGGATAGACAGATGGATGAGAAGCATCCAAACAGACAAACTGAATGAACAGAATAAGGGACTCTAACAGTTCAGGGAGACTTAATATATGAAATTACTGTACTGTGTGTTGTCTGTGTACCTTGATCACTTTTCCTTTCCCTGTTTTGAATTTGAATGTTTTATCTGTCTCAGTGTTGCTGTCAAAAACCTAAAAATTAAAAAATTAGTTCCAGTGACATGCATTTTACAGTCAGTAGAAATTACATAAGATTGATTGAAGTAAAAATTTACTTTTCCAAAACTGTTATTAGTCCATAACCATCCAGTGTACTTGACTTCTAAAGCATCCCCTAGTTCAATAGCCTGAAGGCATGATACAAAAACAAAAGTGAGTATTTCTTTCGAAATTGCAGTTATAGGTTAGTACTCTTCAGTTAATACACCACTTTCAAAAGGTCACAGGGGTCAAAATAGGACAATTTGGGAAGTTGCCTTGTTTTGAATGATCAGGGAAAATATTTATTGGCTGCAAATTGTTTGCCACCAGTAGTACATCACAAACAGAAGTTGCTGTCTCACACACTATCAGTTGAAATCTTATTATGACCTTTGAACTGCCTCCAATTGTCAAAAACAGGTTTGAAAATCTTCCTAAAAATTTGTTACATAATTTAAACCTTAGAATACACATAGTTTTAGGGAGCCATTCATGGTTTTAAGCACAATAATGGGTTTTTTTGCAATTAAATACATTTTAATAGTTGAGTAAAACTGATTGATATAAAATCCCTTTTACTCTGCATAACCTCCTTTTTCAGGGTGGATTCATGGCTTGTGCTTGAGTACTTGATCAGGAAAACTAAACGGTAAAATATTTCTCAAAAGAACATCTAGAAAACAAAAACTTATTTGACCACTGGAGCAGTCATTTAGCTGCCTAAAAAAACATGATGACCCTTACCTGTCCATCACCAGGGGAGAGATCTTGTGTGCAAAGATTTGATGAAGCAGAATTGAATTTTGATAACCCAACCTGTAAATCAATTCCAACAGGACAACTGTATTCCTTCTCAATTAATTTCAAAAGGTCATTGTGGTTTCTTAGCTGCTCCACTTTAAAACTAATTTTCTCTTTATTTGCTTTACCAGTAACCCACACTTGTCATGTTATGATACAGACAAAACTATATTTTCACGGCATAAATTCAAACCACTAAGTAACAGTTTCATGTCTGTCAAAATCCAATAAGTCTTACAGTAGTTAATTGCCAAAGCATTCTTTGGGCATTCTACCAGGATTAAAATCTACTGTTATGCACCTTTCAAATCCAACCTCCAGCACTAATCTTTGAAAACTTAATTTTCTTTAAACCCTGATTTTACCCTGTCTTCTGCAATTCTAACACTAAATTTATTCCATCAAAATGCTAATTTTACTTGTTTGCAACCTTAAGATCTTGATTTTTCCTATTTCTTGAAAGATTAATCCATGGCCATAGTTCAAATGAACATGAAGGAAAACTCACACACGGTTAATTGTCATATATAAAAGCACTTTTTGATTGAGTTCTATAAAACCAAAACCTAAGTGCAGATCATGTTAAGGCCAATCAGAAAAAAGGAAAATACCTTTAACCCTTTAATTCTCAAGATGTCATTAGTAATTCTCCTTAATGTCTGCCTTACAGTTTATATGACAGTGTTTTGGAGAATTTGGAATTAGATCAACCAATAATCCCCAATTAATATTTTTCTTTATTCTCATTACTTGTCTGCTTGATATTGTAGATATGGCGTAAGAAGAAATTCTGTCTTGGTCACTAGTGGGACTTAAAGGGTTGAGAGCCAATGAAGACTCCAAGTAAAAACAACCAAACTGCTTAAAGTGCAGAAAACACATGCAACAAAGTTGTGACTGATTCTAGTTTTGTATCTGATGGTTGAGAGCATGGAGCTTGTTTCTGGACCAATCACAGAGCAAAGTAAAACAAAACCAATGCACACTCTCGTACAATCTCAGCTAACTAATTACCTGTTTAGCAAAATCTGTGATATTCTTATCCGATTCAAAATTAAGTGACCATGTCTGCCTCTGGTCATCATAAAAACTTGCATAATTACTTCCTTGAACCTAAAAAAAAAAATATAACTGTTAAAACTACCGTCTGGGGACATAAAAATACGAATGCTGAACACTTGAAAATTTACAATTTAACTAACATATCATACAATGTAATCCACTCATATATTTACCGTGAATGAAAAATTCCCATGAATTTTTGCTGTGGTCACTTGCTGTTGTTTTGAAGCATAAACGAGAATCCGGTACTACATTTGTAAAGAAATAATAGCACGATATATAAGTATTGGAATTTCCATTTTCCCTTATACATCATTGAGAGAGTAAAATATGTACAGCTAAACCCGTATTTTATGAACTTTCATGAACAAGTGTTATAAGTGCAGTAACAAGGCCAAGTCCTACATTTACTGTAAAATGGGTCTGTATTCAGTGAAGCCTTTTTTAACCCTGTGACCACAGAGAGTGACTTGCATCTAGTTTCTCCTTACAATATCACCCCTAAATAAACACTAAGGTAACAAGAAAAGAGGAAATGATCACCAACCAAGCTCTTGACTGTTAAGCTTAGCATGGATAACTTACATCATTTGCAGGATGATTGCCCAATACTGCAGCGCCCAGTTTTCCCTGACTAGCATATTGGCCATTGACACTAAAATGTGATGTAACAGAAATTTAAAACTCTTTCACTAGTCCGCAAAATTTTTTAACAAAAAGTGCTGAAGAGAAACAGGGATTTACATACACAATACACTGAAGAGCCACTTACTATTTGTAGGCATGGACTGCAGTTGCAAACAAGAGTGTTGTTTCTCCACCACCAGCTTGCGCTGCTCCAGCTAGAGATAAACAATGGTATCAACAACAAGTGCATCACAAAATTATGCCAGATTCCTCAAGCTGTTCACAGTTATAGATCACAGAAAACGTCAAAATGCGACAAGAACATCAGTATTACACTTGGCTGCCCCTCCTGTGCCACCTTTTTGTTCTTACCATATTTTGATGTCGTCTGTGACCTAAAAGGGACACATGACAACATGGGATTTATTTGGTAAAGAGATTCAAACCCTTAAAAAGACAGTTATCTGAAATGGCACTCTCTTTTTTACTTTGATTTTACACATACTTTTAGGATATTCTACACTAAAATTATTGTTCAAATTTCAAATCCTTAACTGTTGAATTCAATTAAAAAATTGATTTAAGCTCTGTAAGCTCCCCTTCACAAAAAAACGTGATATAAATATAATAATATGGTATTAACACTGACAACAGAATTAGTTGATACAGTGAAAATGTGCAAAAAAAAAAAACGCTTAGCAGGTCACTATATTCGCTCTCAGCCTCTGGTTAATGGAGAGAAGTATTGGCAGTGCACTTACAAAAAGAGTTGCTTTACCTTAGTTGTCATAACAGACATCCCGGTGAACGAAGTGACCGAAAAGGGGATAGCTGGAGGCTTGGAGCAAGGGGGAGGGGTACGAAAGAAAAAAGGGTTGCTGATCGGTTGTGTCACTTGTGCAAAATTACAAATTCTCATGTGTTTCTTTCTTTTGAGGTATTCTCAAAAGGTCTACTTGAATTGCTTGATTCAGCTCGAAAAAATGACCACGCACTTCGCACACCGAGATCACGACAAGGTTGATTCGATTGTAACCGCACACCGCACATAAATTAATTAACCGTTCACCTGGTTTCTCTTTCTTTGGCTGCTTAGGAGCAGTGTACGTCAAGGATTCATTCCCTCCTAAAAACGATGCTCTATCCTGACCAAATAACGATGCAAGCTTGGAAGAGCTATGCGAGATAAGAACACTGTCACGCGACCTCAATTTTCCGCCATCTTGAACTTCTACGATAACATGTGAAATGGCAAAAGACAGATTACAAAAGTAAATCAATTGCTCACCCTCCACGGGTCGGGGACATGAAATCTCCTTCGTCATCATCAAGAGGGGAAGAAAACATTCTGAGACGAGTAAGAAACTTATAGTAAACCTCCTAGGTAGATAGTTTTCGTTTAGTGGTAGCGATTAGGAAACCGAAAGCTTCGTTTACTTCCTCATTGGAGGCTGGGTTCTAGTCTTGCGTCATACCGCTGAACAAGATTTCGTTAGTGACAGGAACGTTGATAGTCTTAGGTTGCCCAGGTTGTCATTCGTTTTAGCTGAAATGTTGTTGTGAGAGAATAAATAACACATAAACATAGCCTAAAAAAGTCGTCCCCCCCCCCCTTAGGAGAATAGAAAAACGATGATGATATTAAACAAAAAGCAGAAACATTTTCTTGAAAAAGAGAAGTCACGGTCCTGCGCCCCTCAAGGCCCACCCAAGGAAGATCTACGCACAGTATCTCCAGACTTACTCTTCGCTTCATTTGGTTTCTTCTTAAACGACGTCCTTCTTGGAGGTCTGATGTATTTCAGTCCAGGTGAATGGTCTTCGTCGATGCTAAGATCTGACTTGGTGGTTCCCACTAATCCGAATTCTTCTTGATCGCTTGCTGCGAAGTAATAATCAAGTGTAAAAGTATTCTTTGTCAAACACTACCGAATTTTCCATTGCGGGAATCTTAAAAAGAAAAAAAACACCCATCACAAGTTTAATAAGAGAAAGTTAAGAACAGAGTCGTCACTTTCCCTTTTCCATTTCTGTCTAAAAAAAAGTCATTCTGAAGTCTGATCACTTTGCTATAAAATTAAGCATAAAGCAAAAATAACAATACTCTTTTAGGCCATATATGATACCAGCCTGAGGAAAAATCGCGACAGTTTAAGGTCGTGTTTGAGATCTCAGGAGAAAAGGTTAGCAATGAACATTTAAAGGAACCCATAAAGGAAAAAAAGTTTTTTCGACAAATCGTGTTCAACAAGTTCAGGAAAAGGGGAGGACCATTCACAATGGCAAGCCAAACAACCGTTATAGAAAAGAGCATATAAGTCGTGATTTAGAGATAAGGAAATACGCTCTAACCGAAGTCGAGAACGTTATGTCACATCCATATAACGTACCGGTAGTTTTGTTCCGAGATTCTACACTGTGACTTGTTTAAGCAGTAACACAGTATACAATACAGTCCCTCCTTTTCGGTGAAGTCTTTCAAGCATGTCAGAAAAAAAATCAGTAACCAAAAAAGTGATGTCAGCTCTCTACTTTTTGTGCACCGCACTCCCAAAGTTTAGTGCAGCTGGTGAACAGTTTTTGTTTCAGTAAGTTTTTTTGTACTCGCTCAAACAGAGGAACTACTCGTAATAAATAGCACATTTAACGTTAACTTAATATTTCTAACTTTGTACAGCGGTGTCGCCAAGAATTTCATAGTCTTCGTAGGTTCCTTCGTACAACATGGAGTCCGCTGGAGCAACTGTGGCGATCCCATGAGAATCGTCAACTTTGGGAACATGTGATACCCAATCTGTGCACAAAACGAAACCCGAAATACATAGGGATAAGATAAATTAATTTTCTGTCACTTATTTTGTAGTCTGTAACATAATCCCGTTTCAAATCTTTTTGTTACCCGTACAACAAGAAAACCGTGTACGTTCCGCAACAATGTTATAAATTATTACGAAATACTTCGTAAATATTCTAAATTGAATTGATGTAATGTATTACCAAAATAGATACTCATCTTGTCCAAGACTGTGGATAAAAAATGTTTTCTCATCTAACCTCAACGCCATAAACGAATGAAACAACTGATCACTGAGGAATCAGCTGAATAACACGATATACAGCACGTGAAAGCGATCCAACACTACAAAGATCGATCAGCGATTCGAACTCACCTTTATTCTCCGAGACATGTTCGTTCAAACCATGTTCCTGTGTGAGGATTGAAGTATCTTCTTCGTGGCTGATTTCCACAGAGTCGACAAATCGTATGACGCTGTTTTCTTCGGCAATGCTCTCTACAGTCCCCATAAAGTACCCATATAAATCGACGGGGTTAATAAGCTGGCGAAAGATCTCATGTTTGCAGATGTGACCGCCAAATAAAAATAGATTACGAAATACCCAACAAGTTCGATATTGAACCGCGCGATTTGCGCACAAAAATTTTTGTCCTCGTCAAGAATTTCAAGAAAAACAGTACCTTAATTTTGGTAGAAGAAAAGTTTCTAATGAACCAGCGGTTACCGAAGCATGCTAATTGTAAACAGAAACAGTAATTTACATATTCGTCTTTCGTGACACAAAAGCAACGACTGGCATTGCGTGACGAGACTAAAACAATCTCTGACTTTTGAGATAAGTTTTTCGTAATACCATCCCTTGTACCGCGAGAAACTCAAATATAGAGAGCGAGTAAAAGCCCTATAGCCGGTGGTTTATAACTTGTTAAGGTCACCCTTGGAGCTAAAGAACACACTGCTCACTGTGTTCCAAATAAAAAGATTAACAAGTACACAATCTGGATGGAAGGAAGCGCCACGGAAAATAATACTTCTAACGAAAACAGTCAGGACATATGGAATTTATTAGCCTCTTTAAGCTGAGGTTAATGTGAGTCAAAAAAGACGAAACTGCTTAATACTGTATAAAACTATTTCAAAACTATTTTCAAAAGTGGCATTAATCCGGCTATACATAACTAATTTCAAACGAATCATTTACGAATTTGGTCTTTGAACATGATAACGTTGGGATTACAGAAAAAAAAGACTCTTCCCTTTTTATTCAAGCATCTGAATCTTAATGCCTTCTCGTGTGAATCTGATGTAAAGGGTGTGGTTGATACCTCGTTACAGGCCTTATTTCCACGATGATCCATTTCGTTTATGAACGAACAAAGAGACAAAATAGTATAAGAAAAGATAGCATATTTTTCTCTTTGAATCCGCTACTGAGAGGGAGAAAGGCATTTTTCGTCTTGCGTGGAATAAAATAGATAAAAATCTGAATTTTCACGAGGATCCGAAGTCCGCCCACTAAGCTACAGACTTAACAGTCAGCGTGGCTGTCAGTAGGTTCCCATGTGACACTCGTCCAGCAATGTCGAAAGCGTCGTGTAAGTACAAAGAAAAAAGAACTCGAACTTAAGGGACTGAACCCCTCAAGTGGGTTCACATCATGTTCAACTCAAATCTCTTCCACTCATGGCTATGCGAAGCACAGAAAAGAGCACAAAGGGGATTTAGTGGCGTTAGAACAGCCTTAGAGATCTGGGAACAACTTGCATGTTATTAAAGATAGCGGACCGCTTGCAAAGGCCTTTTGTGGTGATGACGCCTCAATTCTGTTTCTTGGACCCGCAGGATCATTAAAACTTTTAGTACAGTCACTGTATATTATAATTTTCATGCGTAGAGTAGATCCACGAGCTCGCCATGGTGTAACTACGAGAGAGTCGTTATGTTTTTGTTGTTGTTGTTTTTCTTGGTTTTACTCTCTTCTACCGCTTTTTGCAACTTGATCGCCGATATTTTCCAAAATTTGCGAACTTTGTGAGTCCGCTACGCGACACTTTTTTTCTTACGCGGGATCAATGCGGCCAATCCCGCAATGGGCCCATCTTGCTCCCTCGGGGAGCCATTCAAAACAAAGGATTCGCTTCGTATTGCCCAAAGGCGCTGCCAGCTGTATAATAAAGAGAGATAACAGACAGACACAAAAGGAGGTTTTAATGAATGACTTAAGAGACTTGAAACAATACGGCCTGCTTTCTCGAAAAGACCTCTCCTGATCAGAACTTTCAATTTGCGTTATACACTATTTCCTTCACCCAGCGGGGCTCCATAAAATTATCTCTTGGCGAATCAGAGGAGTTGTTCAGATTTCTGTTTTTTAATCATCAGTTTGTTGATGGACAATGAGCGGGCTAAGATTTCAAATCTTACTAGAATTCATGCCATCACTCAAAGGCCCCTATAGATGTTGCAATGCTTTTAAATTATAACAATAAAAACTTAACCATAGTTTCACACGCATTTGGATTTCCTCAATTCCCCAGGATTTTCCTGAAACAACTTATCAGCTGGAGCCCACTAGAATCTATTTTTCCACCTGACAGATCTAACAATAGACATCTTATTTCCGGACTGGGTTGGATTTAACAAAAATAGTAGAACTTGCTATTCCTACATGGAAATCTTCCAAAAAGTATTTCCGTTCACAATTATGAAAAGGAAAAATATAACCCGAATTAAACCTGCGAAAAAAAAAATATAGGTCGTTACACACCTGCTCTTTGACAATATTTATCCGCGTTTACCCAGCATCTAATAATCAAAAATCAACTTTTGTAAACTTCAAAAGAACACCTTTTCATGGAAGGTTTATAATTAATCTTTGTGCAGTTTGAGTGGTTGACTCCTGTAAGAGGTTCTTTTAACTTCGCGCTAAGCGACACTATTTAATTCAGTTGCTGGCTCAATTGAGTTCCTTGTGAAGTTGGATTTACTGGGAGATGCCTGATGGTAGTTTTTTCGATTGTCGGCGGCGATTAGAAAGATCAAACCACAAAGAATAACTTCCATTGTTCTCAAAATTGTTTGTGTGGAAAACCACGGCCAACTTTTTGCGAACCTGTCGCCAGCAAAAACACCAAACTCTCCAACGCTTACGTACAAGGAAATGGAGAAGTTACCCAAACCAAAAACAGAAGCTGCACTCATGAAGAAAAACAAACGCTTCAGTTTTCCGGCATCCCGAAGAAGGCATGGATCGGTGAAGTTGCTAGCTTTCAATGTGGACTTCAAATTTTTCCACATCCGAAAACCCGCAATGAAATAACCAAAAGAAAGAGCGAGACCCCAAATGACGAAAGTAATATGGCAGATAAAAATCATGACTTTAGCTTCTGGATAAAACCAAACCACAACATCAGAGACCGTCACGTAAACGATGTTTGTGAGCGTGATTGAAACCAAGAGGGGCAGGTTTCGAAGTTTCGGTGGTCCCAAAGATATTTTGGTCGTCTCCAAGAAGATTAAGAGCATTATACTAAACGCTGAGGTGATACAAGCTGTTGCAATTCCCCAAGAAATAAAAACAACAACATTTTGAATCGCTGACGAAGATTTCTTCGAGGTGTAAGGATCCCAGAAAAGAACAAGAGCCCGCCCGATTCCCGCGGTGATCAGTGCACAGCTCACGACCAACAAATGGACCTTCCGTTTCGCATTAGCCATTCTTCGAAACCGAGAAAGAGAAAAGACAGCGTACAACGTGAAGAGAGTAAAAAGGCTGGCAAAACCATAAATGTGGGCAAACCACATCCAGTTCCATTCTTCAATAGCGTGGGTCCATTCTGGAAAAGGCTCTGGCCAAACGTTTACAGAATGGCGATCTGAATCGTTCGCATGTGTGGAGGACATTTTCTCTGGTTTAGAACTTGGTAAAGACAGAAAATGCTTATCCAAAATTAATCCAGGTACCTATGAATCTTGAAACAAAGGTTTTGAGAAGGAAAACTTTCTTTATCAATGAGCCGTCTGATAATTTCAAAACGGATGGCTTTGAAGAGTACAGGTCCACAGACTAATACTAGCTATAGCGATCTGTGCGAAGATAATAAAGCTTTTGTTGAAATAGCCTCGTATGATTGCTGAGGCGGAATAATTGAATATGTTAATGTTCACACGGGAAGTTCTGGAAGAAGATTTCAAAAGTGACCCAACAAAACAGGTGAAGCAAACATATTGATCATCTGTCCATTCTGAATAAATAACCCACCATGCTTTTTTTTTTTTCTTTTCTTTTTTTTTTTTTTTCACCTGTATCGTTGACTTGTAATTTTTTTACCTTTAAAGATGGTTCGATAAAGATGTGGGGAGTTTGTGAAAGTCCTCTGGCAATTTTCAGCCCTAGTGTGAACTTTTGTAAACGCATCTATGGCGCTTATTCCAACTGGATTAAAAATTTATCACTCTGACATGTTATTCAAGAGAAAATGAAATTGTCCATCAACCGAGGGATATCCTGTTAACCTCAAGTAAACAAAACTGAAAATTTGCAGCTTGATTTGTGAAGAGCCTGTCTTAGCATAGTAACATATTATTTAAAAGCATTTAAAAAGTGAATTTATTGTTGCAAGTCACCATGAATACGATCGATAGTTGGTTTTCTTGCCAAAACCTAAATCTTCAATTTTGATAAATACTTTTTGAACTTTCAGACCATTTAATTTTAATTCGCTTCGTCTTTTCAAATTGCAATCGTCTCGAGTTGCTGAAATAATTCAGTGGATGCAAGGCGTAATGGAAATGAAAACACCATCAAAATTTAAATATTTTATGAAAGTCGAGTCACACCTTGGATTGATTAAAAATCAAGTTCAAATGAGACATCTTCCCTAGAAACAGTAAATCTTCTGAAACATGTCCTTAGAAAGTGACAGGTTTTGCTTTTTTTTTTGTCTTTCCTACATTAATTTCAAATTGGCATTTTTCCAGAATGTCCTCCACTAAAGCAACATTGACAGAAGGAATGTAATTAGGACAAGTATTCTTTTCTACAATTCCTCGTACAACCCATGCAACTCGGCAAATTCATATAATGCAATATTATTTTGCTGTATGTTAGTGAGTTAAAAAGATCTAGTCGGTTTAATTGTCCAAACCATCGATTTAGGTCTGAAAGAAATTTACTGTTACTATATTCAACAACAGTGCATGCGTCATAACGAATAATTGAGGCTAAATTATGAATTATCAATCACACATTTGGTTAGAGCGCTCTTCGATGGAGTGTCGTAAAAAACAAAACCAAAGTAATCCAAGCGACCAATCAGAGCAAGGTTTACGTTATCATTAGACAATGAGAACTCAGAGCGAAAACAAACAAGCTGCCTGAAGCGCGGGAAGACGCAAATGGCCAAGTCACAATTGTTTTACAATTGCATCTTATTGGTCAAGAGAATCACACCAGCTGGTGAAAGCTTCCTAGAAACAGATCTAATTGCAGCTTACTTCTACTGATTTTGCCTCCCCCTTAGCCCAAGACTGAATAATTTTCTTTCATTCGCCATTTCGCCATGAAACATGCATGCGGGTATTGCGTCCTAAGGATAATCTGCCTTCTCCAGAATTTTCACCGCAACACGAATAGCCATGGTTTTTATACGATCTGTGGTACTCAAAGTTTGAAGGGGTAAGTGGTGCTGCGTCGATGGGAGAGCATAACAGGGTAATTTAGCATTATCAACTGAGTCGATAAAGTAAATTGGTCACCGCAAAGTGTTTAAAAGCTGACATTTCTGGCGTTAGCCCTTCGTCAGAGCGATTGAAGGAATTATGGATTGTGTTTGTGTTTATAGGCAGTAAATGGAGCTACGCTATCGGTGGGAATATGGTGACGAGAAAACGAATAAATTAGTTGAATAAAAAGCGCTCGTTGATACCATAGGGATTAGGAAAGCCGATTTGAAAGATAAATTTTTGTGCTCAAAGTTCAATTGTTGAAGGCTTTTGTTGCTTCCAGACAAGCTGCCTTGAACGCTTCCTTAGCGTCGATAAGCGCCCTTTAATGTGGATTACTCAAGGCAGCCAGATGTATCTTTTTCAAATTGCCGACAATGGCGGGAGCTGTATATATAGTAGTTTCTCATCGCACATGCACAGCTCAACATGTCCCTGGACTTGAGAGAGCGTTTGCGTTTAGATGGAGTACTCTTCCCTCGTCCAGCAGCGTAAAAAGACACTCTAATCCATGTTTGAAGTAACTGATGGTTGTTAAAAGATGCTGTCTTGCAAGCGCATCTAACTTCGACGTGATGTCGTCTATTTCACGAATGAGCAAGAAACGGAATTTTTGATCTGTGACATCGCCATCTTTCAGCTTTTCTGCTGCCTTATCTCTTCGCTCACAAGCAAACCAATGGTGGCTATGATATCAATTCACTATCAGACAAATAATGAGGATAATTAAGAACTATTCTCCGAAGTGGAGGTAGTTAGGGGCGGTTATTTACCGAGCTGCAAAGCGGTGAGCCACCGAGTCTGAGGTCAATACTTGTTTTCGTATGTATTAAAACAGTGAGATAACATGGTAAAAAAAGATGATTTTAACTTATCAATTCCTGTGATGATTACAATGTTTGGGCGAGTTGTTCGGAAGTGAATAGCAAAAGATATTCGGATTTTGAGTAGCCAATCAGGGCGCGCATTCAATGCTATCCACTGTTTTAGGATACACTAGAGAGAAATATTATTTGTTGATCCAATACCAAATACTCGGGACTAAAATCACACGAATTGTGGGGCAAATAGTAAGGAGAGTCTTTAATGAGATTAGAAGGCAGAAACCTAAACTAAAAACTCAGACCCACTCTCCCTCGAGAATTGCTGGTGTGTTTTTTCTGATCGTAGGAGTCGATCTCTATCCGGCCGTTAGTGGGTTGCGAGTGTGATGAAGTTTCCTGCGAAACAAAACAGGCGTGAAATCCCGTTAACTTGTTGTCCGCTGCCTTTGGTACTATAGAAACAAACTTCCCGAAGTTGTGTTGTTAGAGACAGTTGCCTGCGAAGCTGCAAAGAACATAGTGAAAAAATGAAACTACTAGTTTTCCAATCCGGAAAACCTCTTTAGTTATTGCTGTTTTCAGTGGTTAGCTGTTTTCAAGTGGTTAGCACTGACGAATTAAAGTTTGCTGGCGATAAATTAATAAAAAACAGCATCTGCACTGAAAACAAATTCCCCAGAGAAGAGAAGTTCCCATCTTTTCTGTTTAAGTCTGAGATTTAAAATACAAAGAAATCATTCTCTCCACTTGAAATCGCAACAAAATAAGGCTCTCTGAGTGAGTACAAAGAGAAAAGACAGACGGACTCGGAGCAAACCCGGCCAATAAAAACAACATCAATATTGTGGAGATGCTTCACTCACCAATTTCCTTTCTAACTTGTCTTTAAGACATAAGAAAATAAGCCTTAACTCAAACTGGTCAACAAACTTAGTTTTACGATTGATTTCCAGGTACGCCACTGCAAGTAAAACAATAAAAATGCATATACACAAAAAAAAAGAATAAAATCTTAAAACTATTTTTAGTTAAGATAATTCTAAAAAATTATGAATTTCGATGTTTGTCTGAAACTTTGTAAGCTTTTATGTTAGCTTCAATGTTCCTCGTCGGCTGGTAAAGAGCTCCATAGCTTAGTTGTCCATAAGTTGCCAAATTAACCTGCGGCAGCTCCGGTACTCTCGAGCTTCCAATTACATGCCAGCTCAGACGAGTTAACAACGTGCCACTTCAGTTCTTTATTCAAGTACCATACCGTAAAATTCCGAAAATAAGCCCCTCCGTAAAGAAGCCCCCCAAATCTGAAACGCAAAAATACCTCCCATAATAAGCCCCTCCGAATACAAGCCCCTTCCAAAAATAAGCCCCTCAAAAAGGTCCTTCGAAAAACATAAGCCCTGGGGCTCATTTTCGGAATTTTACGGTACCTTGATTTTCTTTTTCGGTGGCTGGATTGCAATTCATCAACTAACACGAACAAGTAATATCTACAGTGTATAAGTCGTACATTCAAGTACCCTTCTTCTTTCCGACATTTTTCAAATGCCCTACACCTACCCTTTGCCCAAGAAGTTCCTTGCCCTACAGGTAACTGATGCACCTTCATTCGATGCTCCTTCAGTTCTTCGGTGCAACCGAACCTCCTCCCTCAGTCAAAACATTGAATTGAAAGAACAGATACCCGCCAAAGATTTCTCAGAGGTGCCGGTGACACTTTGGCTGCTCCTGCCTTACGCCGTCCTATAGTCGGCTTTGTCGAGTTATACGCGCCGTTTTCGGCGGATAATGACAAAAGTTGCTCGGTAACATGAGTTTCTAGCCACTGACTGTATGTGAAGACTTTAGAACAATGTTCACTAAGAAACTTGCCACATTTCGGCGGGGATCTTTTTGGTTTTGAAGCGTTTACGATGATTTTTGAATCTACGCCTTGACAACAGCTCCCTGGCACACAAGTCGCATTTCTGTTGTCTTTCTTCTTTAGTCTTGTGCGTGAGGATGTAGCTCTGGTAGTTAGAACTCTGCACAAAGGCCCTGCCACACACGTGACACTTGTACAGTTTGCCACCTGCGTGCATTAAAAGGTGCTGTTTGAAGGTAGAGCGGTAGGTGAAGTTCTTATCATTCTGAGAACACCTATGAAATAGAGGTAAAAGAGATCAGAAGAAAATTCGACTGTTTATTGAGCAATAAAGCTCCGGGATCTATGTCAATATCTGCAGAGCAACTGAGCACCTACCCCTTCCCTAACTAAACAATAATCAAGAGATGACAAGTTAAGGTTATTGTTGAGTTAGGGGAAGGGCAGGTGCGCAGTTGCGCAGATGCTAACATTGATGCAAGTTCTGAGGGTTTGAAGATGGGAGCATAACACAATGAGCCAGACTAAAAGGGCAACTAGTCACAACCGTCTGCTAAATTACCAGCCCTTGCTTAGTGAACGGGAATTTGCTTCCTCGAGGGAGTGGGGGGGAGGGAGGAGGGCAATGAGTCCTACGAGGTGTCCAAAAATCATTCTCTCTAGACAAACAACATTTTCCGCGAATAAAAGTCGAGGAGTAAGGAGCGGAGGAAGTAGAAAGGTGGGTGAAGGAACATGGAACAATTCAACTCATTTCGAATTTTTTTCAGGACGCAAGTGTCACACACACACACACACACACACACGCACACACACACGTGACACGAGAATGGTGAAGTGTAATGAAAAGGAGAAAGCGAGGGGGGGGGGAATTCTTCTCTTCTTACCTCCTCCCATCACCCCTTTCTCTCCCAGCGCACCACCATGCCAGGCGCGTTGTGAAGATGACTGGGGACGAGTAAGGAAGCTTCCACACTATGTTCTGCAAGCTGTAACACCGCCAATAATTTCTCCTTCGCAAATCTCAACGTTTAGAAAAGAAAATTCAAGCTATAACAATCCTCAATTTCGAATTCTCTGATTCGATCCAAGACCGAAATAGGAGTCGCGGCCTTTACGCGAACAGTAAGAATTACTTACCGGTAGGGTCTATGTCCCTTGAGTTTGTTCTTAAGCTCGTTTAGGTTGTGGGAATAGCTAAAAGCCTTTCCACAGACATCACAGTGATGTGGCTTCTTTCCAGTGTGTTGACGCACATGGTACTGAAAGTTATCCAGCAAATAGAATGACTTTGGACAGTAATTACATTGATATAGTTTCTCACCTGCCAGTGTGCAAGAAACACCTGTCAGCACCTTAGGAAATTTATGGAGAACAGTATGAATAATATCCATACTGATGTTTGGGAGTAAAGGGTTAAAATCAAGACACTCTTATACAATTTTGAAAGACACCTTAGGCTAGCCTAACCAGACCTCAACTATAACCTGCAGGTGCTAAGCTTTAACATCTTCATAATTTGCCAACTGCACATGCACATTTGTGTAAAAATGAACTGTTAACAACAAGTATAAAATTATGTAGTTAAGTTTCTGAAAGCGTATTTTAGATTCTGAGGACTACTTTTCATTTGTCTCATCTTATAGAGTGCATTTCAATCAAGTGTTGTTAAAAAAAAAAAACCAATCAGAACAGCTTATCGGAACAAAGGAAAATATCACTGAAAACTCAGAGTTCAGTGAATTTTTTAATCCAGTAGGCTAGGAAAGGGATACAAGTTTTCAAGATCAATCACACAGCAAAGCAAAGCCAAACCAAAGCAACCCCAGATTACTTTCAACTCTCTACTGAAAATTGCTTGATTGTTCATCAACTCAGGAGGCTATCATTTGGGGTTTGTATGTGTACACTAACATTCCAATGACTGCCACTCCAACAAAGGAGACTAATCAATGATTACCAACAAATGAATGAAGGGGGTAAGTATCTAAAGAAACTGTGTTGCTGCATTGGTGGGGGGAGGGGGGGGAGGGGGTATTTCAAGATAATTTGGTTTTAGCAATCAAATTGTAAATTGGCCCCTATGAAGATTTTCCAAAGCTGACATTTTGAGTGTTAACTCTTGGTCAGAGTCAATGGCAGAGGGCTAATAGGACTGGCAAAGGGCTAATGATTGAATTGAGAGCTTTAGATACTCTTTACAATCACCAATTTAAATTATCAAGTCAGTTGATAAAACCTCTCTATCTTGAATAATTACCCCCTGATCAGAGTGAGCCTGAGTGAAAAAAAAGTAGTATCAATGATAGTTTTTCAAGACAGTGATGGGTGACTAGTAAATTTTAACACACCTGTAGGAAGCCAGTTGTGATTTTGGACTTCTTTTTGAGAGTTAAATGACTTGGGGCACTGTGGGCATTTAAACTGTTTCTCACCACTGTGCTTAAGTCATGTGCCTCTTTAAATACCAATGAAAGGAAAAGCACTTGCTGCCAACTTCACATTTACATGGCTTGAAATCGGTGTAAAGAATCCAGTGTTGCTTGAGATGACTTGAGCTATAAAAGTCTTTTCCACAGCAATCACATGGCCAGCAGGTTCCTTTGTCTGAATGAAATGGAACAACGGAGCCTGAAACACAAGACCACTACTCAGAACAGTAATACAATATCAAGTGCACAAGTGATGAAGAAAAATATCAATGAAGGGATTACTAGTTGATCCTGTACAAATTTCTCCAAACTAGAATCACAAGAATTATATGGCAGACAGAAATCAGAATTACTGATGAGATTTCAAGAGTGAAAGGGTTATTGAGTAAAATGTTACAACTATTTTTTTTCAATTAGTTACAGGTACCATTTTGACACTTTTTTATTCCAGAACCTTCCATATTCCAAAATTAAATTCCTCTGGATAAAAATGCATTTCAGAAGGTATGCCGCATTCAGCCTTGAGTATTCCTTGATTGTCTCTGTGTAAGGTGATCTGCTGCATTCATTAAGACACCAAGCATCCTCTGTCGTATAATTATTTCTGAATCAAATAGATTTATTGTTGACCAAATGAAGTGGTAGTGTTCAATGAGAATCCACAGTACACAGGTTAAACTCACTTCCAGATGTTCCTTTCCTTCCTGCTTAACTTACTTGATCTCTGTTTAACCCATTAAAACCCTATCATCAAAAGGCATATATTCCATACTGTTTCTGTACATTAATTTAGGTGCTGACAAAGATAATTTTTTAAACATTAGTGATCATTTTCTTGCTAGTCACTCTCAGGGTTTAAAGGGTTAAAGCAAAAAATTAATCACATTATGAAAAATGGCAGGAAGAAAGTCTTCACTTGAAAAACAATTTAAGCAAAACTAAAGGATCCAGGAACACTTAACAATTTAGGTCTTATCCAATTACCACAGAATCAGTTAATGCATTGTTCTTGGTTCTTTGAAGACCCCTGACAAGGTGGAACTCCGCTATTCTATAGTAGCTCCAAATCTTTGTTATCTAACCTCCTTATGTATAATTTTACAGAAGCCTATTCTAATTTCTTCCACAGGTCTAAGATTTGCATTGGATCAATCAGCAAAGAGTGCTTCAAATTAAATGATACTCACACAAGCCAAGGTTGCCTAAATCTAAATCATGTCCTCTTCATCATGGAGCTGGCACAAGTCAGCTCCGATTTCAGCTGAAAGAAATGTTGAAATGAGCTCTACGAGGATTGAATCCTTTTTTTAACTCGTAAATTGCGCGCATGCGCAAGAGCGAGTTATAGATACGATGTGGGGAATGGCATTCGCTCGCTCGCTCGCTCGCTCGATTGGTCGATTCCTGTAAACTTTTTTTAGATTTTAGGCTTTTGAGTGCATTTGATAGTTTTTGGCGAGCAATAAACAGACGAAATGGCGACCTTTGTTGCTAAGAATAGTGGTGGGGTGAAAAAGAAGCCAATGATAATCTTAAAAGAGTTTTTTTTTTCGTTTTAGTTTCAACAAGCGGCGCCAGCGGCTGGCAGGCATGTAAGGATTCACATTGAAATAACAGAACAACCTTCGTTTTTCATAAAATTGTAATTTACAATCCTTGAACTTGAAAACAATCCGAAGATTCATTGAAAATATCACTCACTGCGAAGCGCTCGGAGTTTACAGATGTTCAAAAGCTTTTTCTGTTATGGCGTGAGATTACGGACAAAATCGATCATTACGTTTCTTCGCGTGTGTTTTTTCTGTGTGAAGCAACAAAAGATGCCGGCGACTGGCGAAATAACAAGTTAACACGAAAATTAAATAACACCTAAACAAACAATTTTAGCTACCGATTTTCAGTGAATTTTTAAAGAACAATTTTCTTTTAGGTTTCAAGACAATTTGAAGATTCAACATACATACAACGTACCAAAATGCGAAAGTTACACACCACAAAATTGATAAATAGGCCTGAAATAAAATTCTATCTTGTTATTGATTATACGTTGCCTAGCACGTGACTTAAATCTACCCAGGCGGAGATCCAAAATGACGGTGGCAGACTTGGCTTAGTTATATCACTCAAAACTCGTTCCCGTTTGTCTCGTTTGATATAGAGGGAATCGTTAATTTTTTCATTAAGACAGTATTGCCTTGATTTTCTAATATTTACAACGAAAGACTGTAAATTTCACTTTTCACTCACATTTACTCCCAACCTTTTCTTTTGAACCAGAAACAAAAATGATAGACGTTTAAAACACATCATCCACCTTGTCAAATGTAATAGCATGATCATTTCAATTGTAATGCCTTCTTATCCCAACGTTACTTTGTTTCTTTGCTACATTAGCGAACACTGAACTACTGCTCGTACTCTAGATATGACAATCAACCACAAAATTCCCTAAACCAGCCAACATTAAACATAATCTAAAAAATCATGTGTCAATTCACGAGTTTGCTCACAGAGCACTTTGATCTTTTAATAAGGCTCCATTAGGGGGATCTGAGTATCCTGTATCCCATTAAAATTTTTGGCCAAAATATCCCGTATCCCGTTAATTCCTATGGTTTGTATCTCTATTATGCCAGTTACCATGATGACATCATTGAGCGTAATATGTTTGGGTACCTGATAACAAAAAACACATTTTACTGGGGCATTTCGTATTTCAAATAGAAATTACGTGCAAAAAAGACATCATGCTTCTCAATGGTATGCTCTAATGTAACATTCTGTGAAGAATTGTTAAAGGACTGAGGTGACTTCAAAGCAATGAGTCACCGAGAAAGTGGTGGAAAATGGAAAAAGCCATGGGGGAGGGGGAGAATTGTTCTCGGACGAGAACTGATATTCGCACCTAATGTGAATATTAACAATATTTGATGGCAAAATGTAAAAAATCGCATTTGAAATAATTTTTTCACTATTTGTGCCTTCTATATCGACAAATAAACCTATTTTATTCTTTTAAAAAATGAGAACTTCAATATTCGATATCCGAGAATCTTTTTATAATATCCCGTATCCCCTTAATTTTCCGCCCAAATATCCCGTATCCTTATAATTTTTTACCCAAATATTCCGTATCCCGATAACCCCTAGTGGGGCCTCTTTAATCCTACATAACGTAAACTCCTTCCTTATACGTACATGTACATACCCTCCTATCAGCTCCACATTCAAGTAAGCTCGATTAATAATGTAGCAAAGGGTATCAATTGCAGACCAAATCCCCAACATGTCCGCCATGTTTGTTTATTACTTGTCTCCTATTGGATTATGGGAAGAGCACAAACAGCCGCGAATTTGGCATCCTTCCTTCCATCCGTAATTTTTTCTTCTCACTACCTTCTTTAATCGATCTTTATCAAATCTCTTGTCTGGTGTCCTTTCGTATTTCCTTAGACAGGCTTGTTACTGAGATAACTGTGGTAGCTAAGTCATAAAATGCCCTTGTCCATCCTAAGATGGGCCATGCAGGAGCTTCGCGACGAGTTTTACCCGCGTGCAACGCGCTATACTAATCAAAGCAAGGAAGGAGGTTCAGTGTCCTTCATTTTCACTGGCGTGCACACATCGCTATGCTACATTCGAATTCTCATTTAAGTAGCCTGCTACGCAATAGAGTTCACATTCAAACTCGAGTGCCACGGGTTTACTTAGGGAAAAATCGACTCTTTATTTAACTGGACGCTGCGTGCAAGTGGAAGCATCGACAATACATCACACCAGTTTACATCTAAGCCTAGGATCAGCAAAGGTTGCCGTCCAAAATAACCCAGTTCGACCATGGGAAACGAGCGGATTTCCTATTCGCGCAAGTATTTGGTATTCAAAAGCGGTTTCCTTTTTCACTTTTACTCTTGCTTTCATTTATTCTTGGCGTGGTGATGTATATTATACAGAGCTTCAACCTTACTTCACATGACGTCATAGTCTATGAGGGCCAAAACATCAGGGTTGCGTTCTAACTACGAGAGGAACACTCCGAAGAATCGCTGAATATCATCAGTGCTAATTTATACTCATATCTTTTTAACATTACCCTTGACCGGATTGGTACCGTCAAAACTAGCCGCAGTCCTTTGTGTTTATTGCCTTTGTAATACTCTCTCCCCTGGGGAAACAAGTTGTGTATAAAACAATTAACGGCTGTATGGAGGACTACGTCGCAGAGAGACAGTTAGGCTGTTAACGGTCAGGTGGCGCAAATAACCCGACTTGACCAACGAGCCAAACTTGATGCCTTTATTTTTTGTTCCGCTCCCTCTTTCGTGCCGTTCTTAAATATATTTGCTCTGCTTTTGCTAACTGGACGCCTGAAAAATGCTAGAAGGCAATTTCAAAGTGGAGCAGATCACCAACGATTTTTTTTAAGCTTTTTATTTATAGCAACTTGCGGACGCACCAAGTGCACAGCTTTGACCTCTTCTGGGAGGAGTGTTCATATTCTATGGACAAAATTTACACATAGCTACGACCTCATATATACTGCACATTCTTTTCTCGTATAAGAAGTTAAATATTATTTGTTTTTCCTTTATGCCAATATATTACAACATTTTAGTGGCGGAGTTTCTTGCGAGAGAACACGGACCAGTCCTGTTCTGGTTGATATTGCCTTGGAACAAACATTATTTATCGCTGGAGGAAGCGGAAGGGGGGGGGGGTGGGTGTCGGGGGATTTTGGGTAGATCACATGATTTTCAGGAGAAATGGAGGGGGAATCAACCGTCGCTGATAGAGTAAGAAGGGGCCTGGAGAAAATTGACTATCAACGAGGGGGAATCATTAGAATACTACAGAGTCTAACGGGGGGGATCGGGTTTATCGTGACACAATTAAAATCCTCCGACCCAGCCCCCCCTTTTTTCTGGGCGATAAATAATAGCCGCTCTTCTAATAGAGAAATTTACTCTGATAGTGTACAGAGTTCACTGAGCGATTCTAGTCTACTGTTTTGACTGAAGTCCTACGTAACAGTGCAGTTTTTACCGTCGGAGTTAAAGACTTACTACAGACATTAACATTAAGGCAGCGAAGCATTCCCTACTGTATTCCTTCAAAAGGGTTAAAAGTGGTTCTGAATTCAAACGCTTCTTAGTTTTTAGTAAATATTCTCCTCGGAAAATAAGAGATTTTTAAAATCAATATTTCTGAAACGACCACAGTTCTCTCGGTCACTCATTGGATTAAAGTACTCTCTTTTTCAAAATAACTTCTCCAACTGTGAAGTGACAAGGGCTGGAAACTCTGGAAAGGGCGTGTTTTCATTTTTGTCCGATTTCTACTGATCCCTTTCAAACGCATCTAGCTGGCTGCTGCAATTACTTCTGATGGCACGAGTATTTGAATTCTTTAAAATCTACAATATAAAAGAAGTAAAAATAACAGAAGTAAGACAAAAAAAAACTGGAAATCTTTGCAATTCGCTGTACACCACTGCACAGAAACGAATTATCACACCTAAAATAAAACACCTTGAGGATCTACGAAAAAGCACCGTGTGTCAAGTTACAAATACGTAATTCAGAGCTTTTAAGCCAACAAGCTAAAAGTCTGCTAGGAAAAGACGAAGGACGTGTAAAGTGGGTCTAGCTAGAAGCAACTGAGTCAGTTAGCCACAAAAGTAAACCGCTCTCTCTCTCTAATATTTGCGGAGCTATTTCGTTTTTCCCAAGTTCTACCCAGAACTCAGTGTAAGATCCCTAAGAGTCTAACCGGCTTAAGGAGATTAATTTACTTCACGTATGCCTTTGTAAAAGAAGTTAACCTTGCTTGAAAGCAAAACGCCCTATAAATCGGCAGACGGATCTTTTCCAATGACAAGTTTTCCTTTGGGAAGTCCATGTGTCCAACATCTGAACTACCTACTTTTTAAGCGAGGAGGTATTTGAAGAAAACTTCAGAAGGACTAATTTGCTACTGTTGATAAATACTTTGAGAAGTCCATGAGTCCAATATCTGAATTGCCAACTTTTTTAGCAATGAGGTATTTTGAAGAAAACTTCAGAAGGACAAAATTTGTTAGTGTTGACAAGTACACAGGACGTTTTAGAGGGAACTTCTCCTCAAGCAAGATTACCTTGAGAAGTATCATTGATGAGATTTCTTCGCGGAAATAAGGGAATTGGTCAGAAAAACTTAACAAAGCAAATGCGACATAGCTTGTGCGCTCACGTTAAGATTCCAAAAAGAGGACTTTTCTAAATTAGTTGAAACCTACCTCACCAGAATCAAAAGCTGGCCGCGCTTGGTGTTCTCGGGCTGGAAGAGAACAAAGGTGTACCGTATTTTTTCTGTCTCGCGCGCGAGTTTTGAAACCAAACTTGTGTTACTCTCTTACTAAGCCCAGTCAACTGTGCGATTCGTTCCAGGTCCTGCCCGTCCGGATTAGAGTCGATGTTGAAGTTCGCTTGAAGGATTTGTAGTTGTTCCTCGGTAAATGTGGTTCGTACTCGTTTGGTTTTATGACATTTTAGAATTCCGCCGCTGGAAGGTGAATCTTCGCTGTCTGCGTCTGATAAAAGATATAAAAAACCACATTGTCATCATCAATGAAGGAAACAAACAAGGTTCAAAGGCACAAACGCTTAGGTTTGAGAAACACCAAACTAAGGAATGGTGGTGGTTTTTTGTCTAAAACTCTTCACCTTCAAATGAGAAACCAGCAGCAAACAACCGACATGCTTTCGTTTGTCATTATTCCTAAAATGTTTTGGCGAAATTTAACGAAAATCGGTAAAATCTACATACCCTATGAATTCGCTCAAAGTGGTTGTATTCCTCACAAAATCTAATACGAGATTTTAGCTCATGGAGGTTCGCAAAAAACTCACACCAGGAGATTATCTCGCCTCCTGAAAACGAAAAACCAGTAGGACAACGGGACCTCCTGGCGTCAATGACGATGGATCAAGATTTCCCGGGAAAAATAACCCATTGCAGACACCCTTTTTTTCATTGTTATCTCGTTCGCTCAGTGGAGCGTTGAGGAGGACGACACAATGATGAGTAAAGTTGCTAGAGGCAAAGGAAAAACCCGCGGCAAAAATGGAAAAACCGGTAAATGTGCTGAGGAACAAGACAGCGAATTGACATAGCTTTCAAAATTACGCTTTGAGGCGATTGTTAGTGTTTTTGTAACAAGGCTGGTACTTGCATAAAGAAAAGAGAACCTAGTTTTTAACATTATTTGTAGCAAAGTTCAGTTTGACGGCGAGTTCTTTCCGCCAGTTCCAGTCGCTTTCACAAAGGAATTTTTTTTATTTCCTCGACAGAATGCTACCTATCCTTTCTTCCTTAGGCCTGTTTTTTTTTTTCCTTTTCCCTTTTTTTTTTACTAAGAACTTTCTTCCGCTTTTGATTTTTCCATGAGCAAAAATTTTTTGTAAACAGAGAGCTTCCACGTGCGAATTTTTTAAAGTACGCGATGTAAACAAAATATAGAAAGAGCATGAAAATCGAGCCCCAACGTGAGCGGTTGCCGCGAAAATTCCCCCAGGGGGTTTCCCCCAGGGGGTTTCGCCCAGGTCCGTGGTAATGACTCCTTCCTGATTTATTGACTTTTAAATTCCCCCCGGGGGTTTCGCCCAGGTCCGTGGTAATGACTCCTTCCTGATTTATTGACTTTTAATTGAAAATGCGTTTTTCTAAATACCTCGGGGGCTTTTATAAAACTTTTTCATGGAAACGTCAGGTTGAATATTTGAATTCAGTGTAATCAAATAAAAGAAAAATTTATTTTTTCGGCCTCTGAAGGTGGGAAGTAACCTTAAGTATAAGCGTTCGTTCGCCCGCAAGTAAGTTGCCTTGGGCAACGCCAGCCAACGAGAGGTCTACAAGTCTTTCCGCGGGCGGAAAACGTTCGTCCTGCAGCGATAACAATGATAGCCTGCTTGCAAGCTGGAATTCTAGTGATACAAATTTCCATGCTTTGAGAACAAACTGCAGTCAATCTCTCTAAGCGTAAGGATTGACATGCTAATAGTGCTACCTTCTCAGTTAGCCATACAAATACGTTTTTCGTCTTTTTATCATGGGGAGAGGTAGAGGGATTTCTTTTTCAACATGGTACAAACTCTTTCTCTCATAAATCACAAATTTCCGATCGTGGAAAAAAAAATTGAAACACAAGAGTGACAGATGGACCTGAATCCGTTGTGGATTACTATGTATGGATCTATCATTACGTGGTCGGATGAAACGTATTCACGTGATTAGGAGGGATTGACTACAGTTTGTACTAACAAAGGTTTACAGCACCGTAAATTTTGCGTTAACAATTTGTCTGCGCGCTGACAAGAAAAGACAATTTACTATCAGCCAAAGTCGGCTTAGAATTCAAACTACACAAATCACCTTGTACCATGTCTTCAATCCCTCCATCACTTTGAGTGCAGTAAGAAAGAGCAACTAAGGAGGGATACAAATACAGGTCTTAGCACCATGGCAACAATTTTCAAGTGACCTTAAAAATTCTAAGATATATACGACTACGAATTCGGGGGGCGCGCCAACCGCCGATAATTTGGCGGGAAAACGCAATAGCTGTCAGCATGAGCATCCGACGTTTTGCGAAAGCAGCGAAGTGCCAAATTAAGACACGACAATTTACCAATTTTTCAAAAACGTCTGATAACAATAATTGCGCAAACTTCTGGGTCGGAGAGAGCATAACCAAGCTTCTTGAGGTATAATTTCTCTCCGTATTTTGACAAAAACTCTTGAAGTCTAGTACTCGAATTGATGCAAGAATCTAAAGGTTTTCACTGTTACATACAATGAACTGGGTTACATTATGAGAGTGGGTCGTTACTTGTGATCTCAAAACTGAATCCGAACAGCCGACTTAAAAGTAATTTTTCCCTCTATTTTTGCAAAGTTATTTGGACTAAGCAAGAGATAGCCTTCAAGAGAGTTTAAAGGAAGAGTTAACGAAAAACAAGAAAAAAAGAAGAAAAAAGCGTGTTTCGTCATTCAGTGACACACTCTTCACGTTCAATGGGCGACTTTTTTGTGATTACTTCATTTTGACGTCATTTGTCACCTATATGACTGGATAACTAACTCACTAAAAAAATTTGTTAAATTTTAACCTGCCTTACTGAATGAAAAGTCTCCAAATTACTATATTTTCACAGGCAAGGAAACTCGTTCCTTTGTTAGGACAGTCCTAGATGTATAAGTAAAAAATTGAAAAGAATTTGCAAATAACAATTTTTTTAATAAAAATCGTGTATGAAAAACTCAAAACTCAAAAGCCTTTCTCTGTCATCAATACAGTCTTTTCAATTCAAACTGGTTACATTCATCACGTTAAATTGCAGCCTCAACATTTCAAATTCTCATTTCAGCTTAACGATCCAACGCAAACTGACAGAGCCTGACATCCGCAAATGGACGATTTTTCCGTTGCCACGAGCAAAGCTAAAGATCTTCAAAGAATCAAATTTCTACGATGAATATAGATCCTAGCAGACTGTCGCATTATGGTTCTGTGTGTAATTCTGAGCGACGTGAAAATAAGTTGCTCGTCAAAACAATTTTTCTCATTCAAGCGTCATTTGTAAATACTCAATCGAGCAGCTGCTTTCTGGACGCTTTGTGTGTCGTTGAAAAGCGACCGCGGAAAAAGAAAAGAACCTCCGTAACCTCCATAAATTATAAATGTACGGTAATTACTCTTTCTGAGAAACTCAACAAAAAAGAATTCAATGTCGCACCTCTGAACACATTTTGTTTTGCGGCTCCGCTAAAACGCGCTTTTGTAATGTTAAAACAAACCTACCTTTGACTCGAAAAGCGAGACGTGTCAATAAAATTTCCGTTGTTTCCTGGAACATTCTCTTTGAGACAACCGCTTAAAATTGTTTACGTTTTAGGGGATTTAACTCAAAAGAGGAGGAAACTAAAACAAAAGTTATGCGTATAGCGGTTTCTTTTTCACACGTTTGAGTTTTCCTCCTTTTCCTTTCCGAAACAGGTTAATTTACAGGCGGGTCTTAATGCAGTGCGTATTAATATCAATTTCTGCTACTAACATCGCATAAACGAAAAATCTTATAATAATGAATTGTAAAGAAAGCCTGAAAATTCTCTATTGAAACGCAACTTGTCTACAGACACCGAGAAATAAAACAAACCCAGACAGGCGAAGTCGGAGATCATTGATTACACTGTATTATGACAAAACAAAATTATGCGCAATCTTGTAAAGGAGACTCCTTTGACAGTTGCATATTTAAGCAAAAACACAAATGAAACTTTGCAATTCTGTTCCAAAGGCGAATTCTTAAAGTTATATTACGGAAATAAAGCAGTTTAGAGAGCAAAACACATCGACAAATAGAGATATTTAACAGTTTATCAGCTGTTTGGCCAATATTTCTCATCTGACGTTCGTCTTATCTTTCTTTCCGTTTATATCTGTTTAAGAGGAAAATTTGGCTTTTATCGTCTCTTCTGCGTACCTTGAAATGTTTCTTTTTTTCCATACTCCCTTGGCAAACTCTGTTTCACACACATCGATACTGAATAAAAATGAATTCATAACGAAATCTCGTTTCTAGAAGAACTTTTCGCTTAGCCTATTCTAAGCCGTTTTATTGGTGTGTTTTTGTATTTTGTAAGCTAAGCGCGCGAGAGGACACGTAAAGCGTGAGTGCTCCTCTTACATTCGCGCTCTTTGCTTCGCTTACAGTTCTTATTTCGCTTGCGCGTTGGGCGTTGGTTTAACACACACAAACAAAATTGTCAACAGGATACGGTTAGACTAAAACTACAAAGACTTACCATCTTGCGAGGAGTTATCGGGAGGGAAAACTTCCAAACTCTCCATGTAATGTAATTTACAAAGAACATGTCCTTCTTTTAACGCGAACTCTTCGCCTGTAGAAAGTTGTCGCTTGCAAGCGTCGCACGCGAAACACGCGAGGTGGTAGACGCTGCTCCGCGCGCGTCTCACCCAGTCATTTGCGTGGATACTTCGTCCGCATCGGGCACATTTAGTGCCAAACTGCCTGTAGATCGTAAAATAATAGCCAGGATTAATAAGAATACGCAAAAAAAAATCGCGATTTAGTGAAGAGAGGGCTGGATGGGGAGGGGAGAAGCTCTCTTTTGTTTGAAACAAATTTCCTCACTTTTCTAGTGTTATGAAGACAAGAGAATGAGCACGATTTTAGTGCATGTTTACCAGCAACAAGATACAAGCGATAACGAATATTCCCGCGGATAATACCACGACTTATTGCAAAATGGGCTGGAAAGGGTGGCGAAAAAGTTCCGCTTTTTCGAGTGAAAGAAATCGTTTGTATTCAGTTACGTTCTAACATGCAAGTAGTTCTCTAAGTTGTCGCAATATTGACATATAGATAAAGTGCGATAATCAGACAATGACCGAAAAAATCAGCTTAGTTTTAGACAAACCACTGAAAACACACTTAGGCATGGCTTCTAACGACAGACTTTCATGGCAACATAAGTGAACAGGCAAACACACGAGGCGGGTAATAACCACATACACAAAGATACTTCAAACAAGAGTTTGTAGTGTATAAGTACAGGATAAATAACAATTATTAAACATAAGCGTAAAAAAAAAGGCTATTGCGAAACCGTTCCTTAACTCTGCATTCATCGCTATGGGATCCAAATCGAAGTAAGAACTATTTGAATTAGCTTCATTTAAATTTTTCATTTATGTTAAAAGGGCAAATATTATCCTAAGTCACATTAATAGTAAAATTAAACCAGCCGCGCAATGAACATTTTTGAAGGGTTACGAAAACCGTACCCTATAGTTTAAAAAAGCTTCGCATCTGCTTCGTTTAAATTACCGTTACCTTTCTTTTTATAAGAACGCGTTTTGTTTCGATTGACTTCATTATGATTATCATTTTCATAACTGTTTTCTGGATATTCCTGCCCAAACATCTTAAGTACCAGATCACGAGTCGGAATAAGTGAAACGTTGTTTTACACCGACACAAACTAAACCGCGCACCGATTAAACAGTTTTGAACGAAACCAAATGAAGTAAGCCAATTGAAAATTGAGGTGATCGCATTTCAAAATATTTTTGAAATCTTTTATTTTTTGTAGACATAATTATACGTAGGACACTCAATACCAATTTCCAATCCAATTGAAAATGGGACTATTTATTACAAATCTACACTCGAACAGCCCGACAAAAGCGTCTTCCAAGCCAGGTTTCAAAGCTGTAAGAAGTGAGTCTCACCACTTTGAAACACAAATAAGGTCACTGATGTGTGGTGTGAAAAATAATTTGCAAGTTTGCATTTTAAACATAGTTCGCTATGTTTACATTTACACGTAGGAGGCAGGTGTTTCTAAATCACCTCTGCCTTTCGGCCAGGAAATTCTCATTCGGCTAAACCACGGAAAATAGATCAGCTGAGAGTTAAGCTGTACAGGAACACAAACGTGTGGAGAAATACGCACACGTTGGTGAAGAAAACGCGCAAAATCGGAAACTCAGTTTTCACTGAACTTGGCGAAGTCGCTAAAACGGATCAAACGCATTATTTATGCGGTCACTTTGTCTTTAGAGGTGGTCGCTTCGTCGACAATAAACCGACGGTCCTAACGTCGCATTAAAGAATGAATCGCCCTTTCTGCACACTTTAAAAGCTTCTCTAACACAACAACGAAATACCTTAGTCCAAACTAAAAACCAAAAAAAAATTTAGTGGAGTTAAATTCGATGTAGTTGGAACCATTCCCAGCACCATTCATTCAAGCCACTTAAAAATGGTTTCGTTAAAGATACCGTGCAAGAGAGGATTAAGAAATAATCTGCTGGTTACATAAAAGACTTTAACTGTGGTATGGTTAATGCAATGTCCCGCAACCGGAGACCTTGGTTTCACTTAGTACAGCCTTATAAACCAAAAGGGGACCTTTGTTATATTTGATTGTTTAACGGTCCAACAAGTCCTCGCCTAAGCCGTCCGTAAATCAAACGTCAAAACTAAATGAACGAGTTTGATAAAATGCCTCCTTAAGGCTTTCTTATCGGAAATCATCTTTCAGACTGGTTCAGTCTAGATCATTTCCAGTGTTCCTAGGCGTTTTGGTAGAATACAGGAAACTTGGCAGCCTGAAATACTTCTAGATTTCATACTTAAACCGGCACGGGAACGTAGCGTTCAAATTAAGAGATGAAAAGTAATTTCCGTACACTTCTTAATGGAAACAACAACGTAACAAAAAAAATTGAAAGGAAGCTGCAAATGTCGCTAGAAAGAAGACGGACGCAAATTACTATTCACCTTTGGATAAATTTGTGGCCATATCAATTAAGAGAAACTAGTAAATTTATTTTTACCAGCCACTTTTCATCTTCCTTGCTAAGATAAAAAAAAAAAACAACAACGACAATAACAACAGAAAAATTAAGCTTAAATTTTGTGCCCGAAATTCCAATCCACGCGACATATTCGTTACTGTCTGATGCTAGCAATGTATAAATTCTGTCCACAAACCGCAGAGGCGCACTTTTGAGTAAAAGTTAGAAAATAAACTTGAAATGAGCACGCAAATGAAACGCACCTTGCATAATCGGTTTTGCAGTAAATCTTGTCTTCCTTGGTATAGCAAGTGGCCTCCTTGCCGAGCTCTAATCCACACATGCAGCATTTAAGACAGCCCGTATGCCATGCCTTCCCACTGACCTTCACAAGATATCGGTCCATAATTCTGCCTTTGCACCCAGCACACTTCTCTCCATGTGCCTAAAAACACGAGACACGATCCTGAAATGTCATTGCTGTGATCAAGTTTGTTCTCCTTACCGTGATATGTACACTAGTGTTCGAACTCCCCCCGCGGCATTCGATTATCAAAATAATAATAACAAATTTAATTCATCCAAGGAAGGGAGGTTTTATAGACATCCTCAGGCGCCCTAAAGCTAACAGAGAGACTCTCAAAATCGCGATCAAATTGCACATGTTTTAGTTCAACAAGTAAATAAGACCTAACATTTTGTCCAGGAAGGTAAACAAACAATTTCTCGCACAACAGGTCATCCTCAGGCACACGAGAAACTCGCATTCAACCATGTTACAGTAATAAATACGAAAACAAACATCCCAAACGCTAACTCACCGAAGACTGGTCTCCAACTTCGCGAGTAAAATTCGCCGTAGATTTTTCCTCGCAAGCAGTGGTCATCTGGAGAGAGGAACACACTGTCAGCACGGACACACTTCACAGAGCTGTTCACAGTATTTAATTCGGCTTCAGGGCTGACCAAACCACCCGCTAGATAACCCAAAGTTGTTCGAACTCTCACAGGTTTCAAATAGGCCAATATAACATGACATGATAATTAGGGCGCTCTCTAACGTGATTGGCTGGCTCGGCTAAGTGGGAGGAGCACTAGTCCTCGGGGAAATCGATCTAACACACAAAATGTTGCTTCCCTTTGTGTCGTCTTACTCAAGGAAGGTTGTTTTGAAATGAACAAATATTACTAAAGTGATGCTCGTCTCAAAGACTTAGCTTTCGCCTTCGAGCAACAAACTCGGATAAGCCACTGGCAGTGCCTCAGAGCTTCGCATTTAAGCCCTTAAGGGTTACTGTAAATAAACTTTATACGCGAGTCATTTAGGATTTACTTAAATATTCCGTGATTTGCTTTCGAAATTCACTGAGTGATTCGCATGAATTAGGGAAAGACGCGTTAAAACAGTTAAAGTAAGCCACGGTTCAAGAACACCTTTTTCTGCGTCAATTGAAGAGCCGAAAAAAAAGGAAACGTTCTTCCTTTCAGTACCAAAACGTGGTCGTACCTGGAAACAAAGTTACCTGGCGCCGAAAGTCTGTAACGAGCGGATGATTTTAAAAAAAACCTGCATATAAATTCATACTACTAAAAAAAATGCACACCGTTTCCTGTTCAAGGGCTGTCAATATTTGTAATGGAAACAAAGCGGTTAAGACTCTAACGACAATCCTTAAAAGCTTGTTGCGGTTAAAAAAGAAAAGCCTTCCAATGTGACGAATGAATTTTTACGCAAAACGACCTCATACTTCCTGTTAACTTGCTCCGACCGATGAAAATTAAAACAAGAGAGGAATTTATGCAGATTTCGTGCAGAGATCACCAAAAATAAAACTTGAAGATGTTTCGAAAGAGCAAAGAGGTCAACAAGATAAATTTCGTTTTCTGAAACTTGCTTCATTGAAAGCCGTTTAAGAAACTCTTATCATTGTACCACGCAGAAGAACTGCGAAAGTGATGGAAGAATTGTTTCCAGGCCGGATGAGCGAGCTTAATCAGTCCCTTACTCTGGAGAGCAACAATTAAATAGGTTTACTTAAAACTTTTGTTCGGAAAAAGAAATTATTTCGGGCATTCTGTAACAACGGAAAGGAATGAATTTTTATCTAACAAATTTGCATTCAGTTTTGTTCCAAACTGTCGTTCGGAACAAAACGATGAATTTCTGAAATACCTTTCCCTCGTGCAAAGCGTGAGACGAGACCGTCACTCGACTACAGATTCGTGACTGTAACGTTATGTCTACATAGATTCATCTAAATTTTGACAAAACGGATAAGCACTGTTCAAGTGTATTAACCCAATGACTTATACAGTACGTCACAAATAGTCTCGACAAACTTCTTGATTCTGTATATCCTGCGTTGATTTTTCCCATAACTCTCAGTTTTCAAAATCTCTTGGTTACCAGTTTGGAAATGTAATTTTCTGTGCTATTACATAATGACCTTTTTTTCCTTTAGGAAGCCAAAACAGAATTTAAGAAGTCTACAGGTGTCAATTAAGTCTTAATTTGTTTCTCGACCGGAAATAACGGTATTTAAGCTCGTTTTTATTTTTTGATCAATTGTTTCGAATGAAAGCTTTCTCTTGATGAATAATTGATAAGAACAGGTTTGACTTCTCGCTATGTGCCGAAAACACTGGAAAATGAAAACTGGCTCGGATCTGAAATAAAAATTGACAACAAAAAACAAAATGTCCCAAAGACATTGTGGCTAAAAGTAGTAAATTGGTGCCCTACATAGAGCATACTCTGTTAGAGTATAACACATTTTAACAATAAGCGACTAAAGCTTACAGGCAAAACGCTTGGAAACCTTTTCATTGTTATTCAAACAGGAGCGATTAAGGAAACAGCTTCCTACTTTTAGCGAATAACAAGGCCTCGTGAACAAGCAAAACAACAAATTCTTAACATATTCAAAGACAATTTTGAAAATAACATAACTCTTACATAATGCAGCCAATCATTCTCCAAAACGGCAAAAATAACACTTGTTTTGAGAGTTAATGTACGCGAACGCAAAAGAAACGCATTTTGAATTGTATTTGAGGAGAAGACAGAGAACCTACATTCAAAAGACGGACGATTGCAAAACTGCTACCACGTGAACTTTGAGATAAATTAATGAAAAAAAATTCCGGTCACAGCAAGAGTTGCATAAAAACACAGGCTTGGAGAGCAGATGTCTAGCCAGACTTCCAAAAGATTTAGCAACCTCATTTGAGTGGCGATGACTGAGTTTTGATTTCATTAAAACGAATCGGTGAGACACAATTTGAACCAGCTTGCCATTTAATAAATGACAAATTGAGATTAAGTAATCTATCGAAAGATATCGAGAATTTTTGGACAGAGTCGAACAGAACTTAACCAAATGCAAAAATTTATCGAGTGATGTAAACACAACTCGGTAGCAAATGTTAGTTCTCTTGTATGCAGTCAGCAAATATGAAACTTGACAAGACAAATAATGTTAATTTTACTCTATTCAGGACAATTTCACGCTCCACACGTGCGAGTTAAGAAGCGTGCAGGTGAAAATTATAGAAAAGAAAGAACAAATTAACAGAGACTGCCCAAAATACCACGAAAACTCCAATTTTCAGATTTAAGCCAAAGAAATTATAGAACTCATGATGTGTACAACGAAACCTCAAAATCAGGGCAAAATCTGTAAATAATCGCGAAAGACTCGTTCTTGCAAGTTTCACTACAAAATAAATATATCTGAATTAGGACTACAGGCGTTTTTCTGTTTGAATGGGTATGACTATGATTCTAAAGATGTTCCTACTTTGATATTCAAAAGTTAAACAAATAAGACAAAAAGCTCTATTCCTAAAATTTTGAATCGAAAGACAGCCTTCAGATTGCTTACAATGTCCTGCATATCACTATTCGAAAATCAAGTGAAACACGACGAGGTGTCGTTCAACTAGTTGCGCACGCCACCGGATAGAATTCTACGCCACGAGTTTAAATTTTTCTTGTTTTTTACCGAGGAATTATACACGAATTTGAAACAGTCTTTTTTGCTTACCTTGGCTGAGATCTGAAATCTTTCGATACTTAGCATAAAACTCGTGAACATGCACGGAAGAACAAGAGTCGAAGGACAAGAAATACGCAAAACAAAGGCGGAGTTTAACACGAAATTGTTTTCGTCTCCACAGAATACTAAAATAATGTCAAAATATTTTTTCTAGAAGAAGCTCGAATGTGTTCGGAATACATGCATGCTCTGAAAATTAAGTGCACAAGAGTTCAGCGAACGATAAATGTTTCAGAGACAACCTTTGATGGAAAATAACACTTCTCGCAAAATTTGTCCAAAACTGTCAACAACCAAAACTTGAAGTATGTTACCTGGAGGGTTTCAATTCTCTTGTAATTCTCTTTCACACAATAGAGCGACATAGCTTTGCAAAATATCCGTGCTGTGTAATCAGCGTATTCTGCGATAACTCTCGTTACAATGCTATTGATCCCACGACAGCAATCTACACGACTGACGGTTTTGACTTTGAGCATTACCTTGAGCGGATGACTGCACGCTTAAATAAAAGACTTGCGCAAAGAATCAACGTGAAAAAGGCGTCGCGGCTAATAACAAAAACTGACGAACAAAAAAAACAAAAATAATAATAATAACAACGACACGGCCGTGCAAAGGATACCCGCTGGTGCGCGATACACATGGGAAAACCCCAGACAGAGCCCAGGAGGCGAGGAAGCTGAAGATATTGCTCTAATATCTTCCGCTCGATACAAATAGAGCTATTTTTCTAGAAGTGAGCCCGAGCCTGAGCCTGAGCCTGAGCCTAAGCCCTGGAAGTCTATCAACATTGCTGGAGTTTACATTTGAGGTTTATTAGACCCTGAGAACGGCTGCACGGGAACTAGAAGAAACCGAATGGAAGAAAGGTGAATTTCGGCTGTAAAACAGAGTTCTTAAACCTTTAAAAGCATCGCGGAAAATGTTTTCATAATTAAAGCTTTACTTTTTGACAAACATGTTTCCGTTATAACAGACTCAATATTCGAATGACCATATACTCAAAATTATCACTAGGTTTCAAACCTCTGGTGCTTTCGTATTTAAGTGCGGCATCGAAAGTTTTGCCACCAGTCGCGCGCAAACCTATCGGATCCTACAAATGGAACATGGGCCCGTTTCTTGACAGTTCCCCTAAATTACCGAGCTCGGTAAGGAAACAGGTTTTGCAAGAAAAACGCGCCAAGCCCTTTGAAACAGAGAAGGAAAATTTGACACGGTTTTTTCTTTTTTAATAGTTCAAATGAAAGCTTGTTTGCTTGCAATTGACCAAGGTCACCTGTATCTCGCCTTGGCTTTGAAGAGTGCGACAAAAAACCCGGCATTTCCAAAGGAACAGAGGTCCACCCGCAGATATTTTTGCCGCTCCGTATTGGTCGGCAAGTCGTCGGGCGGACTCCCTTCGCGGGTTTCAAGAGATTTCGTTCCACTCTTCGAAAAATAAAATAAAAGCGAGGCTATCTGAGCGATATTAAAGGTAGGCAGAAGCCGAAATAAAACTATGCAACACAAACCCAAAAATGAGTCTTCCTGTTACAGATGTTTTTCTAGCACTCAAATTATTTTACTACAGCTAAATTTTAGTCAGAGCTTTTGAAGTTTACAACGACCCATTTGATGCGAATTATTTATATTTCAGTCTTCCTGCTTTGTGGAGAGGGTTGCAACAAGGTTTATACGTAACGCGTGATTAAGCACCATAGGGTATTTTGATCGCGCGAGATCTAGGTGCAAACACAGTGCGAGCTTTAAAACTGTCAACATGCAAAACAAGCATGGCAGCTCGATACGATCATGCGATTGTTATTTGAAAAGGTGTGTTAAAA